TATTACTTCTCCATAACTTATGTAAATATTAACTTTATAATTTAATTGTTGAGTGTTAGGATCAAGGATGTGGTCTTTGTTACAATTAATTACTGTTGTGATTCGTCAAGTTTTCGATCGTTTATTCTACCCATTTCGAATACAACCCAAGATTTTTACACTCAACGATTAATCCACTTTGTCGATGGTCATCTAATCCACGTTTATACCTTTTTAATTTAATTTTAACTCTTCTTATTTTATTCTTTTAATATTTTATGTCGTTTGAATAATGTTGGATGATCGTATTATTTATTAATTTTTAAACACATTATTCTAAGGATTGAAATAGAAAGGCATTTTAAAATTTTAAAGCTAAAAATTTAGAATTGTGTGAACAACAACAAGCTACTACAAAGAAAAAATGTTTTCGTGTTGGCTCATTAGTTTAAAAGATGAGGAATATCAATTTTCACAGTCTTTTATAGTTCAACTACTACTTTCTTAAAGCAAGAACTTTATTGTATTAAAATGCATAAATAATTAATTTATCATGACCTTCGGAGGGGTGGAATTTCCATCGATTTGGTGAGTCTCGATTATCTCGATTGAATATTACATAAAGGGGTCGTGGTCGATGTAATCATAGACGTCCACACGGCATTCCATCCCACGCCAGGCTAGTCGTCGTGTAAGGTAAGTCGTCATACTTTTTGTAACAACCGAGTACTTTTTTCTTTTTTTTTGTGTAAAATCTCCCACCCGGCCAAACGGCGAAACACTACCCCTATTAAGATGTTTTATCTTTGTTCTGGCACCACGTGGTACTTTAATCTACTATATCGAACGGCAAAATTATAAAGTCCATTTATAACTAGGGAGCGGATGTTTATGTATTAAAAAAGTCAAAATATGTACGTAAATACTTCTTTCTTTTTAATTAAGTTGATAAGGACCGGAAGGAGGTCAACTGATAACTTAATACGACAGTCTTGCCTAAGTTTAACAAATTTACATTTAACAAAATAATTTTAAAATTTACAATAATATTAATGTGACAGTAGTACTTCCTCAACTATTATTCTATTTAGCATTAAAAAAGAAGTATATTTAATGACATCTACAGGCAACTAAAGGGTAATTTTTAAAAAATTTTACAATAAATATTTATAAATTTATACGTAATACTTTTTTGGCCTTTGCTTCTTTGGCAATTGGCTCAGAGACAATCTGATCAAATTTTTAAGTCCGTAGCCCTTAGAAAATCCAAAACATTGTACACTGCTGCTTGTAATTGCTGAACGGTTTTGTAGTTAAACGGCTTGATCAGCTTTCGAGTTCAGTACAGGCTGTACTGACTGTCTGACATTTTTGTTTTTTCATTATTATACTTTTTGCATTCCAAAATGAGATGTTCCAGGCCTTCCCTCTCTTCGCATACTAAACAAAGGTCACTTCGTCTTTGCTCTATTTTCTTCAAATATGTTCCATTTATTCCGTGGTTTGACCTGATTTTATTTATTGTAGTGCAATCTTTTTTAGAGATTTTAAAGTTTTTTATTATAGAAAGTAAGTAATTTTTTATTAGAGAAGTTTAAGGAACCACGGCTTCCTGCTGATCGTCGAGTTTATATCCCGGTAAAATTTACCAGTGGAGTAGGAGTCTAGTTGCTTGTTCCACTTGTCATCATATACTTCCTTTTTCAAACTGCTTTGAACTCCTCAATGTGGGATTCTAAATTTTGCTCTTTTGTACAGCTTGCCTTAGACTCATCCATGGCCCCGCCCCGTACCAGAAGGTGCATTCGACTTGCCGTTCAAATAACCTATGGCTGAGTTCCATAATTTTGGACACCATATAGAGGCAACCTCACTGTAAGGTGAAATTTTTAATGCTCTCTGAGCTCCTTGAATCCGTCAGGATAAACACTTCCTCTTCCTTCAAATTTCCTCCTAAATGGCTTCCAATGCCGTTCGAATGCCGATTAGTTCCACTGAGAAGATAGTTCATTATTACGTTTGTGTTTTCCATTCTCTTTTGTCTGGACATCGTACCAAGCGCATCCTACACCTTTGGCACTCTTAGAACCATCAATGATCTAAGATCTTCCCACAGAACTTTATTGGCCATACATCAGGTACCTCGTTATAATCGCATAAATATGACTGACTATATATGACTCTTTTTTACAGCTTTAGACCGCGTAATCCAAGGCGTACTTGTGATGTAGGCTGTCCGTATATGTAATTTTAATGAGTTGACTATGTACATATGCTTCCAAAAGAGGGGTGCTCTTTTTCTTGATCCAGTAGTTCTGCGTTAGGACCTTTTCGGTTTAGGTTAGACCGAAAAGGTTTCAACACAAAATTTTTTGCCTATCTCTCTAATCTTAATCCTAAGGGGTATCACAAGATTCATGTTCAATGACGCTTGTCGGTGTGTCTTCAAGATATCCAGTACAGCGTCTCAAACATTTGTTTCGGAAAACCTTCATTTTTCTCAACTGCATCTCGCTTGTTGCGCCTTAAAGATTCGATCCAAAGTCAATCGTTCTTCTTATGCACGCCTTATAGAACATTAACATAACGACCTAGCTGCTGTAAAATATCTGAGGATATTTAGATATTTCTCACCATTTTCTATTAATTTCCCTATGTGGTGCTTCCATAGCAATTTTTGATCAAGAATTAATCCTAAAAATTTCAATAACGTTCTACTTTAAAATTTAAACCATCTAACAATATTACGTTCTGTGGTAGAGGAGGTACATAAAACTTAAGGAGTTATATATATAANTATATATATATAATAATGACAATAGCGTTCCCTGAGAGACAACTAGAAGACTACGGGTAATAACGATTCTTTGTGCAAATTATATTTTAAGCAATATCAAAACATCTAATCAGCAAAAAGGTTTTCTGACACCAGAGCAGGTTTGATCTCCTTACGTTTAAATCGGTTTCCCTCATTTTTATAAAGTTATTCAGATATCGTGAGATGCGGTCGGGTGTGATGTGGGTTTCAGAAAAACATTTTCTTTATCGTGTCAAGGTTTCGATCTTTTATTGAGATCATCTTCAGAGCTCAAAGTGTTTGTCTTCTGTGAAATTGTGCCATCCTTGCGTGTCGTGTTGTTTAAATTTTTATAAAATTTAAAATACCGGAGTACGCCATACTAGAACGAAGTGAATCTATCTTTAGATAACAGTTTTTAGGTTTTAGAAAAATATACAATTTCTGTAAGGAGCCTTCTGTCCAATGCCGTCTCTCTAGCCAATATCTCAAGACTATTTAATTTAAAGAAATGATTGGCTATGTATTGATAATCCTGTACCATTTCTATTTTTATTAGTGCAATCAGCACGGTGTTGGTCCATTCGCAATCCTAGAGACTGTTTTGTCTGACAGTATGGATTAGATCACAGTTATTACATTCAACTCCATAAATTACATGTGGTAAGTTTAAAAATGAAAGAATTTTTTTTTCTTGAGTTTTTATAAATGAAAACAGTCTTAACATTAATGGTAGGATGCATAAAAATACCATTCAATTTGTTAGAAATGCTTTGAGTGCCAATCCATTATCAAATGTCCATTCATATCCCCGATATTGGATAAGTAGTTCTATAATGGAATCCTTCCATCAACCTCCACTTCTGATGTAAATACAATTAATTGTATTGTGAGTTGTAAGTCCAATGTCGATTCTACCAGAGTCTTAAGGGCAATAGCCAAAAGATTATCAACGAACGTAAACATTAATTTCACATCATAGTGAAGCTGTGATATAACCCAATCCCATATATCAGTCATCAGAATATCAGCCAAGATAGCTGATAAGACACCTCTCATAGCCACTCCATCTTTTTGTTTGTATCAGCCTTTTTTTTACTAAATGTGAGCTTATTTTTAATAAAATATGTTTAAAAACAAGAAAAGCAAAAGTTTAAAAATCAAAAGCAAAATAAATTTTGTATGATAAAGATCAGTTTCAAAATAACAAACAAAACAAAATTGAAACATTTCATTCTTTAAAATTATTGGGAATGACAAGATATTTTAAATTTTCAAAATTTAAACGGCGACGATCAGGTTTGGAAATGGATATACATCAGGTAAAGGAGCGTTTATCTACCGATTTTATCGGAGCGAATTTAAAATTTAAACTCTCATTTGAGTTTAACTCCATTTCTGGTTCTGAAGTTTTTCCTTCATACCTTTCAGGGTGTCAGAGATGTTCTTTAGCTCTTTAAATCTAGAATTTTTAAGCAGCATATTTTCCATCATCTTCCTCATTTTGTTACCGAATTGCACTCCAGCTGTTTCTAGTTTTTAATAGTTGATTTAGCTCTCAATAAGTGACATATTTAGGGTTTTCCAATTTTCCTTATCGCATGGTAACGTAGAAATATGCCAAAATGAATAAACGATAAAAACACTTAAATGAAGGAAATATGTATCAAAAATAATTTACTCTAAAACATGTAAAATATGCAGCATTAACATGTTTTAAATTGCTTCAAAATGTCATAAAATATCAATAATAATTCGTAATGTGTCAATATGTGGCTTTACAAAAATATGTAAACACATAAGCTCCCTAGTTATAACAAACCAAACAATATTTTTTCAAGTGTTCTGGACGAATCTATCATTTTTACTTGTACTTTCCTGTCAGAACTGCTGAATTCTTTTGTTTTCATATATATATAGGTGTAATGACACTTTGACAATATAAAATAGGACTATAATGATTCGGATTTGGTGGGGTCCAAGTCTGTACTGTTGATATATGACTTTTTTGCTCGCTGCCAATGTTTTGATTGTAATTAGCTAAGATTCGTGCTGTTTGAAACTGATTAGACCTTTGGTTTAGCAAGCTGAACGAATCGTTTTAAGCGGATTAGGTTTAGAGCGATTTTTATCCGTAACAGGCGGAGCCAGGGGGAACGGACAAAAACAGGATAGTCGTGGCATTAGCAGATGGTTTGATAAAATGACTGGGGGTTTATTTCAGGCCAAGATCGAACGGGTGCACAAGGCCGCCAGGGAAGGAGATCTCAGAGGCGTGCAGACTTCTCTGGATAGACGCAAATTCGCAGTCGCCAGGGACAACAGCACCCCACTCAAGCCGACGCCGCTTCACGTCGCCGCGTTATTCGGACGAACGAGTGTAAGTATTGACGGAACTCACGAGACTAAGCGGACCGGAAAGCGAACTAACAACAAATCAATTTTTTTTCCTCCAATTAAAATCGTAATATTTTCAACCAATTTCATAACTGTTGTTTACATCTTGTGAAGGGATTTGGAACCTTTGAATGATTAAACAGTTATTGAAAGAAAAGTTTATCCAGAAAATCGATAAATTGTCAAGTTACAGTAAGTACAGATGATAAAAATATAAAGAAAATTTTACGAAAGTACTCCCTGCGGCTGCTGTTGGGTGTTTTACCACAACGTAGATGGCATAGCTCGAGTAGTCAACGTGATCACCCGGGTGACCAGATTTTGTCAAATCCACGTCAATTTGATCATTCAAAAGATCAAAGTTCCTACGCAAGATAACTTGTAAAAAATAAATAATAAATAACTTGTAAATAAATAAAAGATATACCTAACTATTATGAAATTGCTTGAAAAGATTATTAACTTAAATACGATTTTGACTAAAAAATTATGAAATTGGTTGAAAAAAAAAGAAGCAAATAAGGGAAAAGTTTATGTGAAAACAATGGCGTGCCTTGTCCTCATTTGATACGAATCGATTTCACACATCTAAAAGAAAATTTGCTATGTGATTAATATTAACAGCATAACATATTACATGTGACCGTTTTTACTTTCAATATTTCTTGGTTGAAAAAACAAATGGAAAACGGTTCTGATGTTCGTCTTTTAATGTTCAACAGACAACTGATGGGACTTAAAGCGAGCCAATCGATTGCAAACATGTAAAATCGCTATTCTTTGCACTACAACCTGTTTCTATTCATTTCTTTGCAATGTCCGGCGACAATTTAAATTTAAATTCCTTGTGGTTTTCTTAGTATTTTATTGTTTCCTTCCTCCCGAGTTTAAGTCTAAAACGAGTAATTACAACGCCCTGTATAAGGCGAACTCTTCAGTAAGAAGGTACATTTTTACTGTTTGTAAAAAATAAGCTTAAAAAATCTTCCAGCCACCTTTTCAAATCAGTCTTTAGAACAGCCCGTTATTCAATAATTACTATGATCCCATAACCCAATAAATCTTCCCACCTAACGAATTTATACAGACCTATTTCCTTACTCTCATTTCTTTGGAAAGACTTAGAGAAAATTCTCATTAGGCGTACCTCTCCCATCCTAAAGTCCCAAAACATAATACCAAACCACCAATTTAGTTTCCGTTCATACCACAGCACCATTTAACAGAAGCATCGAGTTGTGTAGTCCAGTTTGAGCGAGGGGAGTATTTCTTGATGTGGCGCAAGACTTCGATCGAGTCTGGCACCCGAAGCTTCTCTCCAAGTTACAGGCTCTTCTCCCCTCAACCAATTATCTGATGCTAAGATCCTACCTGTCCGATAGGTATTACCAAGTCAAACAAGGTGAAGATCTTTCCTCTTTTTTCCTTGTCGGGGCTGAAGGACCGCAAAGAAGCATCCTAGGTTCTCTCCTACAGACAACATGCACTGCCGTTATCCCTCTAAAGGCTAACACATTCCTTCTACATTCGCAGACGATACACTCCTCGCATCAAAGCCCAAAAATAGCTTCTTCCAACACCCAGGCCCATCTAAACGATGCCCATCAATGAACCAAAAGAAGTATAAAAAGTAATCAAATTAAGTATATTCACACAACCTTTACCCTCCGGCGTGCGACATTTCCAACGCTCTACTATAACAACATACTTACACCAACTGCAGACAGTAAAATATCTAGGCATGTTTCTCGTTAAAAAAATTGCTCAACCAAACGCTCCAAATACAAAAGATTTCAGTGGCTGGAGTCAAAAAGTGATCTCCGCAAGATCCCAATGCTCTTTTCTGCGTATTGAACCTTACCCTACACACCGACTCCAAATTCCTTTTGTCAAAGAACTCATCCTTTCCCGTTACACAAAATTCCATAAATCCATAACCATTCATACTAATCCTCTTGTCCCGCCGGGTCAATCCGCCAATTATAACGACAGCCTACCTAATAACTACTATGTTAGGTCTTCATTGGGCAATTTACCTTTTCCGGCCTTCACGCAAATTGAATTGTTGATGTTACATATGTGTATAACGCAATATATATCGTTTGTTGCATCTCTGGAGGTACAACTTTCGTACAAATTAAAAAAAAATTCCCTGAACGGTATGAGAGACCAAGCGATTGTTAAGATCAGAATGCAAAGATAGGAGTTGATCTCTTGTAGCATATCTGCTTTTTTATAAAACATATTTGATTTGATTTCAATACCATAAAACGCACAAAAAGTAACTTGCACACAAGAGTGAAGATGTACGAACCGATATAAACTGTTATTAATTCAAAATTTCAGGTTCTTCGCTATTTAGCGGGGAGATTCCCTGAGACGATGCACGCTCAAGACTCTGCGGGTAGATCGCCGTTACATTACGCAGCAACTTTGCCGGACAACGGCCACTTCTACTCGCTCCTCGTCACACTCGGGGCTGATAAGTCCCTTGCTGATGATGTAAGTGGTTGGTTAAACGTAAATACAATTTTCAGCTTGAAGAGATATACAGTGGGATTTTACAATTAAAACGTCTACGGTGGGGTAAATAAATTATTGGAGTTGAGTTTGCTGTACTCTGACCGTAAAAGATCAAGTCACGATAGCCGACAAGATTGGAGGCTGATGGTGGTTTCCACCATTTTGGCTGCGTCACCAAATACGTTGTCAAATGCTTACGTTGTCATGGAAGTTTTGCGACTCCATGATCTTTGAGTTAAGCCGCCATTATCATTAGATGTATCAATGTCGAACAGTGTTATTCCGCAGAATCCACTAGATAGATAGAATAATACTGTATTTCAGCAATTGCTATTACAGGGGGGATCCAAGCACAATAGGGGTACAGGTCGAGGTGCAAAAGGCCTTGTAGCCACCTCTTTTATCCCTATCCCCATCTCCCTATTATTTATAAAACTAATTAATTAATAATACTAATAATAGGATGTACCAACTGAACAAAAATAAATATTCAATCTTCTTAAATAATGAACATTAAAATACATTACAAAGAACCTAAATATATGGCGCCAAACCTAAAATAAATAATTACATGACGCAAAAATAAAATATCATTCATAGACAATGAAAGCCCACAATTACAGTGCTTCATAAATAAAATTAAACAGATCAATTGCCTGGTTTTCTGTTTCAAACTTTAATAAAAATTCAAGTCTTATAATTTTGTTTTTAAATTACAATAAATAAAGATAATTGAACATCATTGTGAATTTATAAGGCTGGAAAAACAGCGGAGGATTACCTTAGAAATCGGGCTGAGTTGACGAGGGAGAGTCTACTTGCTGAATATCAGAACCGAACGGTGCCGGTCGACACTTCAGGACTCAACTTCAACCGATACGCCGATAAAGGTGAGGAAGTCGTAAGCTCTGTAAATAAACAGTTTTTCTTCTTCTTCTTCTTCTCTCTCTCTCTCTCTCTCTCTCTCTCTCTCTCTCTCTCTCTCTCTCTCTCTCTCTCTCTCTCTCTCTCTCTCTCTCTCTCTCTCTCTCTCTCTCTCTAGGTGTGATGTGCTTTCATTCTCTGATCCCCACTTGCATGCGTTTTGGGAGTTGCACACTTTTGAATATGACGAGAACAAACCCCCATTGGACGATTACGATTGTGTTTTTCAGTTGCAAATGACAACGTGTCCAGTCGGCAGGACATCGACGACGAATTGCTGATGGCCCGGTTAGAGACCGCCTTCCACTTCGTCCAGACAAAAGGGAAGGGGACCTTTTTGCAGAAGCACTGCACGAAGGCCGTTTTCGAAGAGTTGAAGTACAGATGTACGCGATTGGACAACACCCTGATAGACGTGATCAGGCCGGGCGTCCGCGATTTGGCGTTGGGAAAGGGAAAACTGAAAGACAAGCTTTTCACCGGTCTCGAAGTGCCGGATTACGAGAGCTTCCGAGTATTTGAAAGAATAATAATGCCGGTCATAAGGGAATTGAACGAAATATCTCCAGGGGAAGAATTGCGTGAACAGCCAGCGAGGAACTTTTGGTCGGAGCGAAAGGAGCAATTTGAAACCATAGACCTCGATCCGACCGGCAATGTAATTAAAGGATTCGTCGTCGAGATGTCCAGGAACCTGTCTCCCGTCTCTTTTCCGAAAAATCTCAAACTTTCCGACCTCGAAAAAGTCGAAGTAGCTCTTACGTCTGTGATGACCGGCTACTACAGGCGCAACAAGGAGAGCGGCTTTATCGATGAATCGGGTGAAAATTTCGGATCCTACTACAGTTTGAACGAGATGGCAGAGAACAAGGAGGTCCTGCAAGACTTGGAACAAGAGTCTCTCGTCGCCGAAGGTATAGATGACCCAAACTCGGACAACTGGCCATACGGTCGAGGCGTGTTCATCAGCCCGTATGGCGACGTAGCCGCATGGATCAACATAAGAGAACACCTTAAACTTTTCACCGTCACCACACCGGAACACAGGGGTCACGCGGGACGTGCGTACATAACCGCCGTCGACATAATTAGCTCGTTAGACGAAAAAGTCGAATCCGTTAGAGACCCGGTTTTAGGATTTTTGACCACTGACCCTCGCCTCGTCGGCAACACTCTCTGCTTCAACGTCCTTCTGAGCCTGCCGAATTTGGCAAAAAGCAAATCGTCGCTCAACCGGCTCTGCGTTGAGCAAGGGCTACACCTGCAGATGACCACCAACCCTACACGGTTCAGGCTGAAAAACAAAGCTTGCCTTGGATACTCGGAATTCGACTGTTTTTTTAAGTTCGTAGACTCCGTTAAAATGATCGTTGAAGCCGAGAAGTTCTCGTCAAAAACTTCCGTAGTCCAAATACCGAGTTTAATCAAGAACTTTCTCGCGAAAAAAAATAGACGAAAACTCGACAATTGACTGTTTTGAGGAGGGTCTTATATAGACTTCAAATCGATTTCCAAGTCAACCATTAAATAGCAACTGTCTTTCCCTTGCATTGCAAAACTATTAATCAGTATCATTCAAAACAAATGTATCTGTAACTAAGTCCTATCGTTATTCGTGATAAATTTATATTAAAATTTTGATCGAACTCTCAGATTTTACAAAGATTATCTTTGTCATTATCCGAAACCATTAGTAAAAGTCATGCGAAGCTTGAAAAGCCACATGGCTTTGCCCGAGTTGACCCCTGAGATATAATCGGAGTTCAGTAAATATTAAATAATGTTCTCAAATTTTAACTGTTGAATCCTCTCTGATTCATTTCAAGATATAAGAGCACGATCTCTACTTTTTCATTCAAAAAAGTGTGCATCTATCATTTAAATTTGGGCAAGATCAGGCAAATTTCAAATTGTATATTTTATATACTACAACACTTGTGCACGTTCAAGCCAGGCTGATAATTTAATTTCTATTGTCATCAGAAAATAAAAAGCATGAGTGAAAGAGGAAGGCAGGCTTTCAGCAGTAACATGTAAAAATGTACATATGTTGTATTTCAACCCTCACATTTCATGAAGGGAATCTTGATAAAGCACAAAACAAATACATATAATTTGTGGGTTGTAATAAAACTTTTCCATGTGGTTCTTTTTAATAAACTATTTATTTTATTTTTATATTAAATATTTTTGTACGTTTCTATGGTTTTTATTTAAAAGATATAACCATTTTGCATCGACAAGCCCCATGGCCGAGATAAAATTCAATACATAACCTTCTTCCATTTTGGCCATACGGTTTGTCGATGCAAAATGGTCATATTTCTTTCAAAAGAAACTATATTTAAATTTTTTGAAAATAAGATGCTGATGATGGGTGTAAATTTGCGAAACTACCAAAAATTTAATGTAAAAATAAAACAAAAAATTTATTTAAAAAAACAAAACATGGAAAAGTTATTAAAAAAAATTATAAATATAAAAATGTTTTTAAAAAATCCATGTTACATAATAAAACTTATAAAACATACATATTTACAAAACTTACTTAGTTTTGTAATTAGTATTACAATACTAATCTTTTCTGCACAATTAACATTATTAGGACTTTTTTTTAAACGTTTTTAAAACTTTTCAATTTTTTTAAAAGTGTATTTTTAGTAATAAAAATAGTTTTAATGTACATAATTTTGCCGTTTCTATCCTAATTCACTTGTTATTGTGTGATCCAACGTAAGTATTTCAGAAAAACATATTTATTCTGCATAAGTTTTTGTCCTGTCTGTGACTGCCATGAAGTCTTATACCACCGAAATGTTTATTACAATGCTTAACATTATATTTTCACAATTCTACTCGTTTTTATTATTTTAATTGTGATATTATTGTTTGGTGAATGTTGCAAATGTAATGTTTTATCTATTATCAATTTCATCTCTTAACAAATATGGCAGTTCTTTGTCGAATGTTGCAAGCATTATTTATTTATATTTTCTAGATTCTTAAAACATAATTACATTCCAAGACCTTTTTAATTTGGCAGTAGACCCATTGTTAAGGGCTTGCCATTAATTAATTTAGCTTTTGTATAATCTTTATTATCCACTCATTGAACCATTTTATCTGTTTATGTCACCCGTCATTAAAATATAGCTATAAAAGATAGACTTTAAATATTAATATAATGGATTATTGCAATAGTTTGATATCTGACCAGACATTTCATCATTTTTATATTTCACGGTGTATTTTTCTTATAATTCAGTGAGTCTAGGCTTAATATTCAAGTCTTATAGAAATCCCCACTTGAATTTTATAATTTGAATTTTAAACGTGCATGTTTCTATCTGTAATTAGAAAATAAATGTACACATGTGGAATCTTCGCTTACTGTCCCAAGCTGTAATATATATATTTTTTTTTCACACTGGTCCAAGTTCACATTTGAAGACCTATATTTTTAATGCAAGAACTGTTTCAAAATTAATTAAAAATGTAAAATAGGGATATTTTGATAAGTAAATTTATAATGTAGAATAAATATTAATTCTAGATAATACAGCAGGCTGAACTTTCGCACCAAGTGTAACCATATAAACTCAAACAAATATTTTATATAATTTTTCCCCAGTTGTGCAACTTAAAATATTAGCTAATAATATTAATAATAACAGAAACAAAATTTTAAACATAAAAAAACATCAAGTGGAAAAAAGACCAAGCCACAATTTAATTTTATGATATTCTATTTATTTGAAATAGGTGCAGAGCTTATGAGAGAAGGATATCCCATCTTTAACCCAGAAGAAGGAAGATACCTGGCAAATTGTACGTCTCAAGTTTGGTTAATTTCATTGTATAATTGTGTAGAACTTTCATTTTTGCTTTAGCATTGGGTGAACCTTTGATTAAAGGGCTGACTGAGGTAGCTCAAATAAGGCCAAGGAATCCCGTTTCACATCTGGCACATTTCCTTCTTGATTATAACAAGGCAGATAATGAAGTAAGTTTGTTTTTTTAAGTGGAATGTTAATTATTTCTATTAAACATCTAAAATAAAAGGAGGTGAGGAGCATAAAAGGAAGAAATGATGAAGATGAGAAAGAAAATGAAAATAACTTAAATGTCCAAAATGGTGAATTGGATGACAATAAGGATGATTACAAAGCAGAGGATAATGAAGACGAAGAGGAAGACAATGATGATAAAGATTCAGAGCCCAAGTTAGCTTTTAAGCAAGCTAACAGGGTAAATATTACAATTATAATGACTTGTTAATTTCAAAATTATCCTCCTTATTTTTTTAAAGGATGAACATGGACAGAGTATGGTCCACTTTGCTGCAGCTAGGTCGCACGGAAGAAATGCTATATTTCAACTTCTACAAGAAATGGACATCAACATCGGTTTGAGGGATGGTTTATACAGAACAGCAAGAGACATTGCAGAACAGCTTGAAATTCAAGATAATGTCCAGAGCATAGACAAATATGTGGTTTCGATTGCAGCAAGAGGTAATGAAATGTAGAACAAAGCTAACCTTAAAATAAAAAATTAAAACTTTTTTATAATATAAAGAACTTTTCAACAAATTTTAGGCGAAGATGGCAAATTGCAAGAACTGATACTAGAAGGCTATGATCACATTCTTGATGCTGAAGACGAAGCAAACATAATGGATGTTGTCACTGAGAGAGGACTTGAGAGTACAATAGAAATTCTTAAAGGAATAACTTCATTTGAGGTTTGGATAACAAAAATTGCTATTTACACATATTTTTACAAACAAGAAAAAAAAAACATTTTAGGAGAGGAGAGAAAAATTGCATCGCGCAATCCGGTTTGGAAGTCTGAAGCAGGTCAATTCTATCTTTGAGGAATCGCCTAATAAAAAAGATCTTGCACTTGCAAAAAATCAACAAGGCCGCTGTAGCCTTCATGTCGCAGTACTTTCTCAGAATGAGCCAATTGTGGAACACATTGCTAATCGTTACCGTGGGACACTGCATGTCGGAGACAACGTGAGTTCAAAAATTGAAATAAACAAAACTATGTACTATTATCATTTGTTATAGCTCTCGAGGACTCCTTTGCATTATGCAATGGGTGTGGAGAAAGTCGAACCTCTCAGCAGAATCTTGATCGCCGCCGGTGCTCAAAGAGTTCTTAAAGATTTGGTAAATAACTTAACAGTTTAAATATTTTAATGGTAAACATTATCAGTCTAATTCAATTGTTTTTCTCTTACAGAAAGGAAGACAGCCAAGCTACTATTTCATGAACAAAACTGATATTCAAAAGCTTCAGGATGAAGAAGACGCTCTCAGAGTTTAAAAGGTGTAAAGGCACATCATTATAAATAACATTTTAACAAATTTCTTTTGTAGAACATTATGTAAATATAAATTTTTTGTATTTTTAGCTGAAATATACTAATGTTTACAAATTTTAAAATCATTTTCTTGTCAAAAATGGTTATACACATCGTAAAATCTGCATATTATGTGTCATCTGTCACGTCTGTATAAATTCATTTTTTCAAAGAGGAAAAAAGAATTTATATTTAATTGCTGAAAAAGTTAGACCTTCAGATACCGAGATCGCCTTATAATCTATATTTTAAAAAAATAAACAAAGAAGTTTTACGTCTATACGTATAGTCTTATTATCTGGCAAAGTCAATTGCTTTTTCACAAATAAAATAATAAGTAAGAAGTTTAAGGACTTGTCCACTTTCAATCCATATTATTTTTCTTTTCTACACTGTCACATTTCTTAAAGGTCAGCCAGTTTAGTATTATAAACAGATATTGACAATATCATGCATTTTTCCTTCTGGCTTTATAATTGTAAAAAGGAAAACATTTTTCGGCAAATAAAAACAACTACTTCAAAATTACAGTTTAATTGGTTAACTACAATAAATTATTAAAACTTATTAAAACTCCTACACTTTTGCATTTTGACTGAATTGAACCATTCTCATAAGTTTTGTGTTATACTATGTAGTCATTCAAAGTCCCTATTACTAAAGGGTATTGTTGTTTTTCTTGCCTACAGCTTTCCTTTTTATTATCTCAAGGGAGGGAGTCCTTTTGACATAATTCGCAATAAAAAAAGGGTTAAATGATTTTAGGTAAATTTCATACACCATAACATGTTTGTAAGATATTTTCACAATGTTTTTGTTGTATCTGAGGGCTTGCCCTACATTTCTTTGCAGGATTTGTCCTTTCTCGTCTTGAGAAAAGTATAAAAATATGTGGTGTTATAGAAACAGGATAACTCTTTATTTTGTAAAGTTTATTTATAATTATTTATTTGAATGGTCGGGGCATTTCTTTAAAAACTATCTGTCTCGAAAAATCACGTTTGACAAATAATAGAAAAAAAAAAAATTTTTTACTCCCGAATTTTACATCCATTAATTTCTACAATTCAGTTAATTTGAATATTACACTGATTAACAATCCAAGAATCAACAAATGGACATTTCAACATCAACAATATTACAATTCAATTTTTTTAAAATAAATTTAAAAACTAAAAACAAAAAAAGGGCTTATGCACTTAACAAAGAGGGCAAGGAACTCCCAAAATTAAATAAATATAGATTTAATATACATAGATTTATGTCGCTTTTATATTTTTACATTTAATTAGCGACTTAATATACAATTATTAGGAGAAAAAAAGAAAAAACTAAATTAGGCTCTTTCAGTCAGGAAGCCCTCAAGGAAAATTGGCTGAATACTAAAAAAAACTAAAACGTTTAAAAATTAAATGTTGAAATACAGAACAATCAGGTTGGTGTACGAATAATGTACAATGATTACAAAGAGATGTTTTTAAAGATCGGTCCCTAATGTGACGAATTACTAATCAAAACATCTAAAAATTTATAATTAATTTATCTAAATCTATATAATACAATTGATGTACATTGGAGAAAGTGTGAAATTTACAATGATTCGCATCCGACAAAGTTTTGAGGACTCTGACACTAACTTTGGTGTTATCTAAGTATCGGCTTAATAATAATTGTGCATTCACTGTGAATGTGCAATGCACATGTGCATGCTTCGATTTACTTCGACTTAAAGTTAAATTTACATTTACCGTTTTACGGCAAGTACGTATTTACACTTGGATATTTTAAAATAAGGTGTCTAGTTATACATGCACAGATACATTCACGCAGTATGAAGCAATGGCGCTCCTCCCTTCATTCTTTACCCTTAGACGAGGCCTAAAATCAGGCACTTGATGATGTAAAAACGTGGGCAGTGAGGCTAAAACGAATGAAAGAAGAAACGGAGTTCTCAAAACCTTCCCACCTCTTCCACTGTAATGGACGAGATTGCTTTCTTGGTCTGAAATAAATATGTCAACTCTTCTTAGACAATAAAAAAGTAAATCACCCTAAAAATTAAAATTAATGTTAATCAACGTTTCAGAGTTATTATAGTTAAAAATGAGACATACTGGGCCAAATAGAAATGATAAATGATGGAGTGAGTGTGGTGTTCAATACTTTTTAAAAGTACTGGGCCAAATGTTACATTCAAACATAAATAAAATTCAGTATGAAAAACTATAAAATTGCAATATTTCCTGACTATACTGAATAAATATTTTGTCTAAAGTAGTACAGTCCAAGTTCTCTAACAATATACTGAATAACCATTTTATTTTTTACCCAACATGTCTTTTTATTAAAATAAAACCTACTTACATCAAAATGCTACCAAATTTTATGAAGATGGAGATTTCTACTCAAGACTGATCTAACATCTTGTGTGAATCGAAGTGCATCCAGCACAGGTAGCAGATTAAGTAGTGCTGTATCCATGGGATCAGAAAACCACGATTTAATTGGTATGGCATTGTCTGTAATAACAAAAAGTATTAATAAATATCAGCTAAAATGTAGTTTTATGTACTTGTTTAAAATTTAAATATGGATAATGGATACTTACCAGGATATGACCTGTAAGCACCAGGGGAGTTGTCCAGTATAAATATACTGGTGAGATCAGTAGTGACCGCTGTCAAGTCTTTGGTATAAGTGCCCAGGTCGGGTGTACAGTGCTGTCTGTAAAACCTCCTTTTCAGGATGCCTCGGTTGTTGTCGAGTTTGTCGGCAACGCCCGCTCCATATATCTCCATCGATGCAGTGAAAACAACAAGCTCATACCATTGTGACACCTGATTAAGTATAATTTTTACTAAAATCCGTTTGTCATAATGAATGCCAACTATTGGGCAGATTTTTTAATACGTCAGTTCGTATTTTATTGTGAGAGTAGCTTACAATGTCTAAAAAGAAATCCACATGCGGCCTCTTGTGAACAAGGAACCGAACCGGGTTCCTCTCAATTACAACTTTGAGTACGAAATCATGTGGCGTCCCTGGCTTGATGAGCTGTCGCGAATTTGAGTCATGGTGTGAGTGTATCAGTGTCTCATCAAGATCGAGTACCAACACCTTTCTTTTTACAATACCTAAAACAAAATTAAAAATTAATTTCTACAAAATAAGTAACAATTTGAATTTTAATAACGTACAACATTACTGAGGTCTATACTTTCTCTGTAAAATTTCATATGTGAACAATCTGATGAATATCTATCAAAATAGCAGTCGTTGGATCTATTATGATAAATTATTACAAAATATATTTTAAATGTCTTTCTTTTATTTTACTTTTTTTGGTTTTAAAAGTTTAATTTAAAAATACATTTTAGAGAAATTTTAAGTTAGTGGTGATTAAACTAATAATGATGCATGTTTCATAATAATGCTAATATTCATTTTAGCCTGTGCAATAAATCTATAATTTTGTAAGCAATTTTTGGAGAGAAGTGATACCATTAATAGTATTACTTGGTTAAAGAAGATACAATTATTCAAAAACTTAATCAATACACATAAGACTTTCTGTAAAAAGATTTTTTTAAAAAGCTTCTCAACCCATGTTAACTAAAAAAACACAATCTATTGAACTGTCGAGTTTGGCCGATTTAAAAACAAATGAAAGATATTCAAAGCAATATATTTAAAAATTTAAATAAAACTACACTTACTTAGTCTATGCCTTGAAAGAGGTGATAACGGGAATAGTTCGTATTTTACAGGTTGATGCTGCACTACCTAAAAACAATTTTTTTTTAAATATATGCATGTACATATGTATTTTAATCTTTATATTTTACTTTTCTAGAAGACTCACTCAAGAATCCAAGAAATCATCAAATAAATGAAGTAATATTGTTTTTAATAAAAGTTAATTTTATGATATAGGGCAAATAATGCCATACTGGATAGGTCACAGACCAGGATCTTGAAAAGTCAATATGTGCAAAAGCAAATGTCACAAGATAATGATTTTTTTCTTTCCTTCCTGGCCACTGAATAATTTCATAGGTGGTTTTGTATTTTTAGTTTTGGTCTTTAACTAAAAGGAACTTTTCAGTCGCAAATAAACAAAATGAGAATTTTTTTTGCCGTAACCTAAAATTCACTAATGTATCTGTAGTACTTTCATCCCTGGTATGTTTTGATGCACTGTGCAATCAAATAATTACATAATCTAGAGGATTCTTCAAGATAAGATGCTTCGATTTTTTTTTTTTATTATTTATATATTTCTATCTTATTAAATTTTTATACAAAGTAAATAAAGTTGGCGTTGGAATTTTCCTTTTGGAAAACACGATCAGTTGGTACATCCCAATAGAAATTGGATGAATGAACAAAAAATTATAAAAATGTCAGAATTTCAAGAAATTTTAACTGTTAAAAGATAATGTATGTACTATTAAAAAACAAGACAAGTGATTTTATTATACCTAAAAATCTCAACCACTTTAAACAATTTTTTTTAATGTAATGAAATTTGAAGCAGATTAACCTAATAGCTAGTAATCTGTATATTTCTTTTAATGTTTGTACTTGTGGATTGGAAATAAACAATCCAATGGACATGGGAAATGTCCAACCCTTCAGACATAAAATATGAATAATATTAATTTCAAACAGTAGCTTATTATAGGAGATTAATACTATTAACCCAAAAAATAAAACTACAAAATTGCCTTGAATCAGTCTGAACAAAGAAAACCCTTGATTAAGATTAAGAAAACGATCCCCCATGCAATTTGTAAATATATTTGGTTGAACAAATACAGATTGTTTACAAAATGTAGTTAATCTATTAAAAAAAATATATTTAAAAAGTCACACTAAAAGACATGAAACGAAAGGATAAATATTAAAATATTAGTGAAGGTCGTGCACGTTGGGCAAGATATCTGGCAAGGCCTTTATTTGGCAGCGAACACAGTAAAGTAGGTTTATTGTTAGAACAAAAACAAAACTCAAGCTCACACTAGGAAACTGAATTTTCATTTTGGTTAGAACAAGTAAAAAGAAAAAAAAAATGTTTACCTTGAGTTTCCACTCATTTAGCAAATTTGGGATTATCTGAATAACAGAAAAGACAATATTAAGTTGACTTTCTGTTTATTTAAAACAAAATTATCTGTCTGTTATGGATTGGCAAATATTAAAAAATCTCCTATTATACTAGTTAGGTTCAACTTTTTAGATCGGAGATTGCAAGATCAATGAAATACAAACTGTCACTGTCATTATACTTAGTCATTAAATGTACCAAACAAAAAAGTTTAGATTGTTCATTTAAAGCCAGTGGTTACAAACTGATAAAGTAATGTCTAACATTATTTAATGTAAAAATAAGCTATCAGCATTAACAATGAAACAACACCTATATAATATCGTAAATAAATACCCAACACCGTCTTTAGCAGATATATTTTTTATTTATATTTATAGTAGATATATTTTTAATGAATAATTTATAATTTGATTTCTATTCAGCTTGGCATTTAAGGAATAAATTCAATGCAATTAAGTTTTTCATTTTCTTTTCTAAAAACCAAACCAAATTTACTGATATTGATTCACATTACCTTTTTAAACTGGGCTTATGAAAACAGGAAATGTTTTATTTACTATAAGTTTAATTCCTAATATATGTAATTGTAAATTTATCATTGAAGAATATTTTAAGTACAAAATCTATTATGTTGCATGTCAAAAGGACATTTTAATGTTGTGATTACTCAAATGTATGATGATTGTGTGACTCAAACCACCAAAACAGAACAGAGCACATTCTCATTGGGTGTCAGTTTACACAAATATTCGTTCAGAACCGTGAAGAAATGTTTAGTTATCTGATAGAATATTTGTATCTAAATTGTGATTCTTCTTATCAGAGAAAAACAAATGTTTATGTCTGATCTTGTCCTTGATGAATAAGGGAATGGGATAGTAGATACTGGAATTGGCAAGGGTAAATACAAAAATTATCATGTACAAATTTTTTCCATTCGGTTAAACTAGGAAGAAAAATATTTGAAATAGGCAGAATATTTGAGAACATTAATTCACAAAACTGAACTTTAAAGTTTCATACTATTCTGTCAACATTTTACTTATTATTATAGATAATTACTTTTATCAAAATTTATTGACTGTTTTATCATTTTTTGATAGCAAAAAAGAACAAAATGTCAAAAATGAGAAAATGATAAGGCAGCAAATGTGCATGTAATGATAGCAAAGCATTAATTGTTTACACTTTCTGTGTAAAAATAATTATTAAAAAATGTTGGAATGGTTGGTGAAATTGTCCTTCTTTTTTTTTTTTTCCCCACAAACAACCCTAGATATAATGGGCTAATATAAAATGAACATTACATACATTTTAACTAAATTCTTAGAGAAGGAAATAAACAAATGAGTGTACTCTGGATATTAAAATGAATCTTTTAGGAATAAAATAAAGTGACATACCTTTTATATTACTAATAAACCCAAAACTTCTACTTTCTTAGCATAAATACGCACTATCGGTTTAATTTTTTAAACTGAAGATTAGAAGTATTGCACATTGTAAATTTCTCAGTGTACAAAGTCAAGAATCTACTTTCGAGGTTTACATGTGTTAGTACATGTCACTATGTTTAGAGGAAGAAACAAGAGTTAACATATACCTTGACAGAGCACTGCAGATTCAATGAGCATAAGTTGATCGATGCCAACAAACACGAGATGGGCTGATTCTGCCGATTCTGTTAAGAAGACAATTTAACAAATTTACTCAATGTGAAGAAATGTTCACAGACCATAGAATAAGTACAACCATAAATCCGAGGAAAGCGCAACCTTATAAACCTCATAGACAAATTACATCTAACAGGTGTTCTGAAAGTACATACAGAACAGCTTTTGGAGAACAAAAATGTCACTAAACACCCTAACTTATACAGTTTGCATTACATGTTAGGAGTGCAGACTGAGGTCAAAAGTGAAAATTGTGCAGTTCCAGGGAGAGAACATTGCAGAGTTGTATTGCAGATTAGCAGGATTACTGTTTTACACTTATAGGGTGTAGAAGTTTAATACCGAAAGTAAAAATTGGCATACTCAGAATGCGTACTGCTTATATTTACATTTTGTATAACCGTGATTACTTATTTTATTTTATGTGGCCTAGGGATTCACACGATAAGAAAGTACCTTAGACAAAAGGACAAAATAAAATGAGGAAACAATCGAATTCATTCAATGGATATAATCAAACCAAGAGCGTTCTATCAAGTTTTGGAAGGAAAGAAACCCCAAAATGCATCAAAAGAAGAAGGAAAAACTTTGAATCATAACAGGATTCTTAACAGGACTAAATGGGCATTTGAAGAAGATTGGTATAACCCAATAAAAGTACTTACAGATTCTGGAAAGAAGCAAAGGAGACACTAACACACCTATTAACAAACTGTGTCTCTACATTTGCCATAGGAGGAAGTGTTTTGGGACATAGAACATAACCATAGAAGAGATTCAACCACTGAAACCAGGCATACTAATCAATTTTTTTTATGAACTCACTGGTGCACTGTAGGTATACATACTGTAGGTATACATACTGTATAGGTATACAGTAAAAACCTTTTTAACCAACTTGGCTTAACCAAAACAATTTCAGTAAAAAATGGTACATGAGAATGTTGTGTTATTGCAAGTTTTAGTCACTATTTATGGTGTTGGGATATCAACAGTGGGTAAAATGTAAACCTAAACTCAAAAAGTTGTAAAGTGCCAAACCACAAGCAATCTCATCATGAAAACAATTAATAAAGCTCGTTTTCTCTGATTGACATTTTGGCTCCAGTTCGTATACATACAATTCGTATACATATATGTCTACATGGTTTTAAGTGGAAATTATTTTTTTTACAACTTTTACCGCATGTCTGCAGCCTCCATGGTTTACCCGAAAAATAAAATTATCTGAAACAGATCAGCCTCCTTAATTCGGCTAAAAAGGGTTCTAATGTACAGAAATACATCTTACATCATTAATTTTGTAAGCCGATGTCCATCTTAGAATAATTTTTTTTTCTCTCCCGATTCCACTCGGCCCAACAGACTTTTGATTTTGCTTTTATTCCCTATTCTAATTGAAAAACTTATAAAAGAGGTTGATTTGGAAAACAAAGGTTACAAACAATTACTGTCAACTCGGGGAGTTGAGTAAGCAGTCACACTCTTTCTGGGACTCAAGAGGATTCAGCGTGCCAGAGTTGGAGTTGCAATGTGACCAGTCAAATAAAGTCGACTGCCTAGGATCCAGAGAGGTCCAGAAGAGAACCCAGAAGTGCGCTGACGATGACATGGAAGATAATATTGGCAAGCTTCATTTAGGTTAAGTCCTTTTATTGATAAACTCATTCCAGATTTGGCTAACTTGCCTACGTTGGTTGAAAATTGTGTTGTTTATTTTTGCCTTTAAGACAGAATAGTGTTACAACACATGTTGAAGACTATATCTCTCTGGTTTATTGATGAATTTTGGATTGAATCTCATTAAGCTATTGGACCCCATGAAAAGCTTGCTCGTTTGACTGAAAATCAATGACAGGATTTATCTATCTAATTAATTGTTAATCACATTTACTCCTAGACCCTTCCCCTACACAAAAAGTAACTATATGTTGAATATTCTCTTATCACTTAGTGAAAAACAAAAAAAGAGAGCCCACAGCACATCCTGTATATCTTTCAATTAATTAATCTGTATTTAAGGTATTGGTTGAGATAAAAATGGCAAAAAGGAGGGAAAATTCAAAAGGTGAGGTTGCGATGGGAAGTTGGTGTCCGAGTGGATCGAAGTCGCGATAGCTCAAGTGGTAGAGCAGCGGCGTATTTAGCCGAAGGTCGTGGGTTCGAATCCCACTTGTGGCACTGCCTTTTTTATCTCAACCAATACCTTAAATACAGATTTTTTTATAATGTTTTGCTGGTATAATGCGGTACCATTGCAGGTAGTGAACTTCAAGTTTTTTTTGTTTTTTTTTTTAATTGTATCAAGGAAAATAATGCTAAAGAAACTGCATTTTTTGTTAATATGAGATGTTAGGATGTAGGAAGAAACTGTTCTAAGAGATAAGGTTTTTTAATAGTGCACTACAGAACCAATGAACTTAAAAGACATCTGAAAAGGATTGACGTGAAAAAACACAGGAAGTGTCCATTCAGCAAATAAACAGAAAAGACTGATAAATTTGCCATCAGATTGAAGAACACTGAAGTTATTTTGGAACCTACATGTAGAGAAAATTTCATCACTGCAACAGGTGAAAATTATATAATTCATGGAACAATTACCTAAGTAAGTTTGGATCAAAAGATAAAATAACTCCAGAAGGGTGCAGTATGAAACCAAAATGAATTCATGAGTAATCAACAATGGAATTTGTTTATGTAGTATGGAGGCATTGTAAAATAAATTGTTCTGTTTTGTGCATGCTCAGTATGAAAATATACTTCTTGAAAGACGTTTGTAAATCAAAATTTCAAGAGTGATTTCGCAACTACCCACATAAATTATTAATAATAATGAGTATCAAGTGTTTTGTTTTTATTTATATATTTTTGTTGTATATTTGCATTAAATGGATGGATGTAAGGGAGATGGAATGTTTGTACATAATCGTGATTGATGAAAAGAGGATAATAGGACGTGCTTATTAAATTGGCTTAAAATCTTTAAATAAAAATTGTTAAATACTTACAGCCCTAACCTGTTTCCTGAGCAGAAAACAAATACACGTCCACACGCGCGATGCTAGCATATAACAAGCGCGGAGACCCATTTGCAACTCCTTAAGCATTTGGTCGAGTTTTGTTGAGCATTTGCCGGGGGCGGAAGGGTCAGCGGGCGGCCGGTCTGGGCCCCAGGGAAAGCATCGTCCGCCTTTGTTTTCCTACGGCTCGCGGCTCCTGGGAGAACGAGAGGAGGTTCGCACCGATAAGTCGCCTCAACGGTCGGCGGCCATCACGACTCGCGGCCTGGGACAAGGATGCACCGGACGGCATCGTCGGCGGAACCTTCAAAGCCCGGCCTCGTTTCCATGACGACAACGTTTTCTCAACGGTGAAACGTTTTCTTTGGATATTACAGTATATTACAAATAATAATAATAATCCATTATATTTAGTGGCATGATTGACCAAATTATTTCTTTCAATTAATTAATGTTTTATGTAAGGGCTTGGCTGAAATGAAAAAGTTACAAGCGGGATTCGAACCCACGACCTTCGGCTCAATACGCCACTGCCGAGAAGTAAACATTAGCCAACCATATCAACTTCGAATACAAAACTGCTCAATGGACATGACGTAGAGTATAAAGAAGACTCAGGGAAAAGAATTACAGCACTGGTCTAATGCTTCTTAAAAGAAGGGTCGAATCAATAGACTGTACTAGAAAAGTACAATAAGGCAAAAGGCTGTAGTGCTTGGGAACATTAACCCCCTCCTTTCATCATCATTATCCTTTTTGGGAATGATGACATAGTCTGACAGAATATTTGTCTCGAGGCTGGTTGTGAAGGGTGGTTGTAGGCCAGAAGTGCAAAACAGAAGCCACGTGGATGCTTTATTCTGTGCTTCGCTATAATAGCCTGCCAATAGAAATAGTTAATCTTCTACTCTATTTATTATGAAAAGTATCCTCACTTATAGCGGAAACTTACGTTGTAGAGAACATCTAGCAAAATATGTTCATGCCTGAACAAAACAACTCCACTGGGCATATTCAATGATGATCCCATTTGCAGAATATGCAATGAGGAGGAATAATATCTTCGAAAGCGAAGCAACGGCTCAATGGAGGCATAACCTACGGAAAAAAACGGAATGAAATTGTAGCAGCGATAGTCAACGACCTAATACTTCTTAGGCGAAGGATCGAGTCGATTGCACTGAACTAAAGAAGGTACAATAAGCCAGAATGATGCATTGCCTGGGGAGTACAAATCCCGCTTCCTTGCATCCATCTCTACCATCATCAAATCATCAGTATCAATAAAATGCATACGTATTGAATCGAGAGAAGAACGATTCGAAAGGCTAAGATTGGCGGTGAGCCGTTCACTCAATCCCCACTCCTCATCATAAGCAATCATCAAAACATCCAAATTCACCCTATCGAAATTTTCATTTGCCAATAGTAATTAAGCTTTGTGAATGAAATAAAAAAATATTACCGAGAAATTTATTTTTAAAATGGGTTTACTTCAATCATAAGACCGGCGACTCAACGCCCCCTTCGTGCGCCGGAACGTGCCTTCAGAATCGGAAATTTTCCACGGTAGGAGGAGATTTCTCATGTACGTGTATTGATCATAAGAGAATAACTTTTATCTCAAACTTTCCCGGTAATGTTGTAGGAAATATACAAAATAAGGTTGGATGGGTTCTAAGAGCTAGCAATAGGTAAGACAGATGGTTTACTTCTACGTAATATTTTTTAAATTCATACAAGTTGTTATATTTATAATTAAATCTATATAAATTACTAAGCTGTGATATCACTTTCACCTTAAGCTCATTTTCTCATGATTTTTTTCTAACACAAAAAATGTAAATTAAGTTTAGAAAAAATATATATAAATATATACATACATATCTCCTTTTGTCAGGATAATTGGGTGAGAATTAAGATGATTGGAGGGCTCTTTGTGTACAACCACAAGGGGGAAGTCCTCATATCAAGAGTCTATCGGGATGACATAGGGCGGAATGCGGTGGACGCCTTTCGCGTCAATGTCATTCATGCGAGGCAGCAGGTCAGGTCGCCGGTCACCAACATAGCCCGGACGTCTTTCTTCCACATTAAGGTGAGCCGATGAAATATCCAGTTTATCGTTTTGTATTTATTTGGTTTTATTGCTGCTACATTCAATCAATATCAGTAACATATTAAAACATATTTAAGGGCTCTGATATAGCATAATTTTAACAAGAGTGTATCATGCTTCTGGCTATCTTGCTGGTTGGTTGTGATGGGTTTTCGACGGCGCTGTGCAGGATTCTACACACTGTCCAAGTGTTTAAGCCAGGGGAGAGGGCTTCTGTCACTAGCGGTTTTTCCGGGGGAGTGGAAAGATTAAAAATCTGTGTTATGTGTTTGTAATTCCTTTTCTTGTTCTTTTAATAGTAATTTTTCAACCTTGTGAAAAACAATGGCAGGATAGTCCGGTATTAATAAAACATGTTCTACTCCGAGGGATCCGATGGGCCCAAAATGAACCAACGTTAATAAAAGAACACTTGAAATTTTTCTTTAAATTTATAACGAGCATTGATTTTGAAAAATTATATATTGACTAAAATAAAATAATAGAAATGATAAATGATGGAGTGAGTGTGGTGTTCAATCCTTTTTAAAAAGGATTAAAATAAAATAATTTTTTTCTTATAATCTGACACTAAATTGTTAATGGTGTAATATTTAAACACACACACACACACACAAAATTAACCAAATTAATTCAACATAATTGTGCAAAACAAATGTAATGGAAGCATATCAAATATCCTCCTCCACTGCAGGGTTGCTGTGGTGATAAAAAAAACCCTGAGAGGCTAGCAAGCCAAGAAAACATGAAACAAAATATGAGTCAGTGAGAAAGATGTGCGGAAAAAAAAATTAAAGCGCAGAGGGCCAGTAGGGGATAAGAGAAAAAAAAGAGTTAGCCACAAGGCTGCACCTCAACCTGAATAGACCAACTGTGCTCCTCTAATTTTATAAATCACTAGTTAGCTTCAGGCTGTTATCAACCTGTATAGCTTTGTCCGAGGCTCCTTAGTGTAGGATCTTACTTACGACTTTTTCTCTCCTAGTTGAAGGAATCTACACCTGCATAGACCCTCACAGAAATGTTAAATGTGTTCTGCGGTATCTTCTTGGCAGTATCTGCACAGTGTTTCTTCTGTCTGTACTCCTATCTGGTGCATGTTCCTTCCTAGGTGGCAGGAGTCAAACCAGAATCCTGGCTCTGTTGGGGTTGCCCTCCAGTAATTCCTTTGTAAGCTTTGCAGATGGCCCTTCTATTAATCCTTCGCGTGTCTCATCTATAGCATCTTTGGCTCAATATGCTGCTGCTCTAACCTCTCCAGCTGGTTATACAGGGTGAATTGCTACTCGTGCTACAAACTTCTCCAGTAGATTCTTCACCCTAAAATGAACAAAAAAGTTCATATTGTCCATGGTCCGATTCTCAACCATTTCAGAGTAATTTCGCTTTTTATCGATTTTGAAAGATATCACGTCCTGGCGTCGGAAAATCGTGATATCTTTTAATCTAAACATTTCTCTTAAAATCTATAAGCACCGTTGAAATCCCCGTTAATTTTTAGAGAGAATCAAAATCATAATTCCATTGAAATTTTTTAATTTAATTTAATGCCCATTTAGTATGTAATGCTTAAGAAGTTTACAAACAGCTAGAAGGTCAAGGAAGAAAGACCCAAACGTTTTGCCACCTTCATCTTCTTATTGAAAAATTAACGGGGATTTCAACGGTGCTTATAGATTTTAAGAGAAATGTTTAGATTAAAAGATATCACGATTTTCCGACGCCAGGACGTGATATCTTTCAAAATCGATAAAAAGCGAAATTACTCTGAAATGGTTGAGAATCGGACCATGGTCAATATGAACTTTTTTGTTCATTTTAGGGTCAAGAATCTACTGGTGAAGTTTGTAGCACGAGTAGCAAGTCACTCTCAAACATTAGCAATCCTTGAACCACCATTTTTTCTCTTTTTGTCATCAACATCTTGGTCTCACAACCACTAAATAAGAAAATGACGAGTGCGTTGGAAGCGTTATTAAATCAGGTAGTTTTCCTCAAATTTGCTGCCTTCTGAGACTAAAATTAGAAACTCTGGATTACTTTATACACTTTCCGATTTACACAATTTTCCACTCTTTTTGTAGTTCTGGCTGAAATAAAACACAAAAAATTAGCCCAAACATTTTGCCACCGTCATCTTCTTATTGAAAAATTAACGGGAATTTCAACGGTGCTATTAGATTTTCAGAGAAATGTTTAGATTAAAAGATATCACGATTTTCCGACGCCAGGACGTGATATCTTTCAAAATCGATAAAAAGCGAAATTACTCTGAAATGGTTGAGAATCGGACCATGGACAATATGAACTTTTTTGTTCATTTTAGGGTGAAGAATCTACTGGAGAAGTTTGTAGCACGAGTAGCAATTCACCCTGTATAACTCTATATCTAAGGCCGTGAGTCCGAATCCCACTAGTGTCTCTAGATTTTTCATCTCAACCAAGACTAGACAAAAAGTATAATTAACTATAAAAAGTTCATACAGTAGCAATGAAGATAATTTAATTTTTGCTTTTGCTTATTGAGCTTTATTTATTTTATTTTATTATTTACTTGTTTATTTTTTCAGTTGAAATATATACAGAGATAGAACATTAATTTTAGACTTTTGCTTAAGTAAACATTTATTATTACAACTTAGCTTACATTTTGAAAATACAATAGTATACTCTCCCTCCAATTTTTTCATTAATACTTGTATGCTAATTTATAATTGTTATTTTTTAAAGAGAGCAAACATTTGGCTTGCTGCCGTCACCAAGCAGAATGTCAATGCTGCCATGGTCTTTGAGTTTCTTCTGAAAGTCATTGATGTTATGCAGTCTTACTTTGGAAAGATCTCTGAAGAGAACATCAAGAACAATTTTGTTCTTATCTACGAACTCCTTGATGGTGAGAAAAAAAAGTTTTTTTTTTTTATCAAAGTCATTTGACTTTCTGTCAGCTTCTGTACTTATTCTTAGTGTATGATTTAATTATCTTAGTTTAAGCTAATTACTTAGGGAATAATTAAGTACAATTATCAACATTTTAGCATATGGTGGATTTTTCATTTTAGCCCTTGGCAAGGCCAAAAGTTTTTATTTCTTTCAATATATAAACTGATTTTCACTTAAGAAAGTGGGGAACACTGCTTGGAAGAGGTAGTAGTCTGAAGATGGGTGGGTGAAGTAGAACTCCATTTTCTTCTGTTATTAAGTATGCATCCAGGAGAAGTATACATCTTGTTGAAACTCATCTTTTTTCCTATTTCCCAATGCCAATGATGATTATGATCATGATTTTTATATGATCAAGATCAATTGTACACAGTTCATTGTAGTTGCTCTGGATTTTGTTCTGTTAGAAGGATCTTTTTCACGGGTTGTTTTAAACTTTTCCTCAATTGGCAAATCGAGTGGTTTTTTTTTCTTTTGCTACTATGTATCACAATATTATCAGTACTAATTTGTTGGATTCGTGAGGAGCAATCAAGAATGAAGTAGTTTAGAAAAACACCTTGTTTCATTTTTTTGCCGACGTTTCGACCTTTATTTGGGTCATCTTCAGGGCCTGGGTGAATTACGAAACATTTGTCGATTGGAAAAAATACAATACAGATGTAAATATAAACTTTCGACCTAGTATTTCATTCACACATAAAGTGTGGTGCTATTCTTGTAGTGTCATATTGGTATTGTGTGAATTTGTATTCTGCTGTTTTTTATGTGGTAAGAATAATACATCTGTATTGTATTATATTTTTCCAACCAACATATGTTTTAATTCCCAAGCCCTGAAGATGGCCTGAATAAAGGTCAATAGTAAGAAGAAAAAAAGATGAAAAAGGTGTTTTGCTAAACTACCTCCTTCTTGACTGCATCTCATGAATCCAATAAATTATTGAACAGCTGGTCACCAAAAAAAGCACAAATTATCAGAACTTTTCATTTCAATTTCAGTTTTTTAAAGGAATATCAACCAAATATTCAACAAGCATAAAATTGGGGCAACTGGCATTCACAATTATTTATAAGGTGAAATGACACCTGTTTGATTGTTGTTATGCATACATTGTATATCCTTTCCTATAGTTTACATCTGCTACTTTGCACTATACATTGGCAAAGGACATGTAATCCACATAAGACACTAAAAAGTAGGAAACACGATTTCTACACAAATGATCAAAAATGATGCTTCATAACAAAGGATACATTTACAAGGTGATAATAAGGCATTGAATGCAGGTTTCAACCAAACATTGCAACTATCATTGTATTCAGATTTCCCTATCCAAAATCCTCTGATAAATAGTAAATGCTCTCTTCTATTTAATCATACAATCCATAATGACCTTAACATTCCTTTTGTGAACAATGTAAAATCCCTGTCCTAAGGTAAACGTCCGCTTTCCCCAATAATCTCCCCAGGAGGGGAAAGCGGCACTGGCCACACATGCAACCTGTTAGGCAATGAGACGGTGTACAAATCAAAAATTTTATGTGTGGTATATTAACATACATTTAGTCAAAATAATTAATAAATAAATTTAAAGGATTAAAATGATACCAATAACAGTAAATGTTGTTAATAAAGAGGGAAATCATTTTAGCAAAAAAAAGTAATTATAATAAAAAAAACTTTATTGTACTCCTTCATATTCATTGTATTAGTAGTACTTCTTATCGTACTTGAATTTTTATAATATTTGACTTTTATTTTCTTTTTAATAGAAATTCTTGATTTTGGATACCCACAAAACTCAGATACTGGTGTTCTAAAGACATTCATAACACAGCAGGGTGTTAAGTCTCAAAGTAAAGAAGAACAAGCACAAATAACTTCTCAGGTTACAGGTTGGTTGATTTATTTGTTTTATTATTCATTATTTATTGTTACAAAATAAAAACAAAAACCGCAGGGCAAATTGGATGGAGAAGGGAAGGTATAAAGTACAGGAGGAATGAGCTGTTTTTGGACGTTCTCGAATTTGTCAACCTGCTCATGTCCCCACAAGGCCAGGTGCTGTCTGCCCATGTTGCTGGGAAGGTTGTCATGAAGTCATACCTATCGGGTATGCCTGAATGCAAGTTCGGCATAAATGACAAGATAGTGATGGACTCAAAAGGCAAAGGAGGTGCTGGGAGCGGAGGCCTGTCTGTTGCTGGAGGAGACGATGCTGCTCGAGCCTCAGGCAAGCCTGTCGTCGTTATTGATGACTGCCAGTTCCATCAGTGTGTCAAGTTGTCAAAATTTGAGACGGAACATTCAATCAGCTTCATACCTCCTGATGGCGAATTTGAATTGATGAGGTAATTTATTAAATTTTTAATTTGATCTATCTTTATACTTGATATTGTTAGGGATCACAATGGAGAGGGTTTTTTAACATTAGTCAATTTTCCTTAATAATTGTTATGTTCTGTTGTATTAATCAATCATATTTTACTTTGTTAAGGTATCGTACAACCAAAGATATCTCTCTTCCCTTCCGGGTGATCCCACTTGTGAGGGAGGTTGGTAGGACAAGGATGGAAGTGAAGGTTGTGCTTAAATCCAATTTCAAACCATCGCTGCTTGGCCAGAAGATGGAGGTGAAGATTCCGACACCTTTGAACACTTCCGGGGTCCAATTAATCTGCCTTAAAGGAAAAGCCAAATACAAGGCATCTGAAAATGCCATTGTCTGGAAGTAAGAAACATTTCTTAATTCCTATTCCGCCTTTTATAGTCCAACATTTTAATGTTTTTTTTTTTTTTTTTTTTTTTTTTTTTTTTTTTTTTTTTTTAAATCAGGATCAAAAGAATGGCTGGAATGAAAGAAACACAACTGTCAGCGGAAATTGAATTGCTGGAAACAGACACAAAGAAAAAATGGACTAGACCACCAATCTCTATGAACTTTGAGGTATTTATCATTTTCTGAACATTTTTTAAGCTAAGTCCTTTTTAATGAAATGCAATTAGTAAAATCAAATATAAACAATTTATACACTCAAAGAAAACAAAATCGGACACTTGCATTTATTTGTTTATTTCCGTAATAACTAGGTATAAAGATTAATAGTTGACCTAAAATTAAACACAACATAAATAAATTGTTGTTTACCTTTATAGAGGGCTTCTGTTTTACACTATATTACAAATTTTAAAAATTATTTCAATTGCATCTTTTCTAGAGCCAACTTATTGAGTGAGTTAATTAGTTTTTTAAATTATTTTCTTTCATGAAACAATAAATTTAGTAAATAAATTAATTACCATTTTTTTTTCTTAAAAGCATGGTTTTAAGTCAAGATCTCATCCAGGCAGATGCTTTGGCCAATGACAGACGTAGCATAGCCCAAGTCCTGGGCACAACGCAGTTTAGGGCCACTGGAAGTCTCAATCGAAGAGAAGGTAGTGGTCAATCTACAACAGCTAGAGACAATCATTTTATAGTTCTTACCACACTGCATAACCATCATTTAACAGCTTCCTTGATAGGTAGTCAACTCCAAATGGTTGTAATGTAAGGGTCAGCTCTCATCAGAACGCTTCATGAGAATAGCCTAGTCTCTAGAAGTCCCGCATCAGGTTCTCAATTACTGAAGAGGCAACAAGTGGAAAGGTTGATGCGCAAATCAGCATCTTGCTTGACACTTGAACAATAGAGTCTGTCTCTTCCGACGAGTTTTAGACAATTTAGTTTGTGGCAATCAGATGACCAGGACCGTGGAGAACGCTTTGCTTCATGTTTTCAAAGACGGCCTGTTAGGGTATGAGGTGGAATCATTGTCCATGCCCGTACCAAACTGATTACCGTACATAATGGATCTTTGACTGCACTAAGCTACATTGAGATAGTTCTTCTGGAAGCTGTGGTCCAATTCGCTCCATTTATTGTGGACTTCATTTTAAAGCATAATAATGCTCAAGTTGTCACCCATCATTTGAAAGATGTAGGGATTAACACAATGAATTGGCCATCTACTGAAATGAATCCTATAGAACATTTATGGGACAAGTTTAGTAATTAAGAGCAAAACTAGGATATAAATTTTTAGTGTATTAAATTTTATTCTAAATGAATTTCCGGTGTTTTGGTGAATTTTCTTTCAAACCATCATAATTAAATATTTATTAAAACTTATGAATTTATGATCTTGTTAAATTTGGTTTACATCAAAACAAGTAGTAGTATTGAAATTATTAATGATAAAAATACATACATATAGTTTGAAATAAACAACAAAATATGAGTGTCCATTTTTTCCCCTCTTTGAGTGTATTAATTCAAATGTATTGTTTGTAGTACTGTTTGTCTATTATCACATGGACACATCCAAAATAAAACGATTTCAGCATACTCATACCTCAGTCCAAATTGATCACATCAATTGCCCGTTATATGACTCAGTTGGACACTCTTTTGTCTTGTTTTCTCCACTTAATGGTCAGATAACCCTTGACTGGCTGTTCAATTGTCAGGCTTTTTATGTTGATCTAAGTTTGTGAGGAAGTTCAGGAGTACCTGAGAATTTTAAATGGTGCTAGTGTGACTGTATTGCTGCCTTGAGAAGAGTACATTGAAGCACCTTGGATCTGAATGTGTCATCTTATTTCAAAATAGTATTTCACTGTGGTTCCCGAATTGGACCAGAAAATTTGCATCCAATGTGTCACAACATGCCGAATGGTTAGGGTTTGTGATAAATTATTTACTTGAAGTTTGATGTCTTTCTGAGTGAGGTCACTTAGTAAGACCTTTGATTCATTCCAGGATCTTTTCATTGTCCTTCTCTTATCACTGTTATTATTGTGACAAATTCACACTATTATTAAAATTGTTTAAATTTCAATATGACTAAAATAGTCTAACTAGCCTTTCTGTATTGAATATATAAATTATATTACATATACAAAAATTTAATATTTATTTTTTAACATATGAGGTTATTATAATTCTTTTTTTAACATATGGTGAGAAAACAAAATTCCAAATCACAACTTTTATTTTTGTGAGTGGCATTGCAGATGAGGGTGGAAAATGTGGCAAAACTGAAACTTTATAAGTTGAACAGGTTCTGGTAGTTGTAGTTCTTCGCTCTAGGATAGACATGGTAAAACGATGATAGTTTATCCCGTGACGCGCTGACAACTGTGCATGGTGCCGCAGAGGGGTCAACGTTTGTAAACGAATTGTAGAGGTGTGTCTCAGATGGAAATTTGCCCGAAGTGAAGTAATTCGAGTAGCCTTCAAGATCCAGTTTGACGAGGACCTCACCGATGATGCTCCCTTCCTCGTCCTCAATCGGGAACCATTGTTCAAGCTGGCAATGCAGCTGGAACTTGCCCTTGGACACTTCAGTAGATTCATCAAGTACTTCACCACACTGGACTCTTATAATCGACTCCATCCAATCGAGTGGGAAGCGTACAACGGCTGTACCAATTTTCTCACCTTGCCCATTCTTGTACTTCTTCCCTCCATATCTCTCCACATCAATTCTGATCGGTGCTTGTTGCATCTCACTTATCAACTTGTATGGCACTGTCGAATACATTAAAGCTGTCCCCTTTTTGAAAGTCCGTTCACTCTTCACAGACCAATTGTCTTGGAAGCTGAAACATGAAATAAAATTATATTATGTGATGTTGCATTATCTCAATTCAACATATAAATATATTTTTTAGTATGATTTTGGCAAATTCTCTTACATATTTTGCAAGAAAACTAAATAAAATTACTTTGATGATTATACACTAAAAGACAAAAAAACTCATATTTTGTTGTTTATTTTGACCTATTTTTATCATTACATTAATTACAACATATTTTAATGTAAACCAGATTAAATGAGATCAGAAATTCATGAGCTTTAATAAAAAATATGTAATTATGATGGTTTGAAAAAAAAATCAAAAACTCAGGAAAATCACTTAGTGAGTAGAATAAAATTTAACAATTGTTTTAACCTAGTTTTGCTCGTAATTTGTTATGAGCAAAACGAGGTAATAAATTGTTAGTTAAATTCATTCTATTACTAAATGATTTTCCTGTTTTGGTATATTTTCTTTTCAAATCATCATTAAATAATTTTGATTCAAGCTCACGAATTTTTGTTCTTAATTTGGTTAGAAATAAACAACATATAAGTGCCCAGTTTTTTCTTTCTGCAAATGTATACACATATATTGGGGATGGCAAGAATATAATGACTTTATTTAAAATATATATTTTTATTTTTTATACCTGGTATGTTTTTAACTATTCAGAGAAGTATTGTCCTTTATTTACAATTACTTTTTGCTATCTTTAATGCCATGTTTATTCTTCTATTTATTATTTATGTTTATTCTTTTGAGTCCAGGAATGTTTAAACAGCTGTTTTAACACTTTCAAAGTTTTGGCCATTAAGGGAAAAAAACGTAATGTCCAAAATAAATAATAGTCTCAAGGTGAAACATCCATAGAGTATGGCAGTGTGATAAAATTTCTAAATTTAAATTAGTTGATAATTGTTTGGTCCTCAAAATAATATGGGAGGAGGGCATTGTTGTGGTGAAAGGCTACACTTTTTCTGTTTTCTAGTGTAGGCCGTTTTTACTTTGTTTGAAAGTCTAAACAAGTTAGCTGTTTACAGAAAAGTTCGCTAATAACCGTTTGCCCTTGTAGTAAAAGCTCAAAATGGAAGGAGCCGGACCACTAAATGCACAGAGCAGGTTTTTTTCTTTTTTTCTTCCATTTGTTGTTTTAGAACAACTGAGTACCTTTGACCTGGTTGGCAATGTTTTTCCCTGATTATGGTATGTATGTGAACCATTTTACATCACTTATTACCAATCTATGAAGACATAAGTAAGATTACGACTGAGGAGTGAAGAACAAAAAAGCATTAGTACCAAACACTGTACCCAAATTTTCATTTTCAACAGTTGCATTGTTCTCTTTTTGGATTTCTTAAAGTAAACAACGTGTTAGATGCATTTTCCAAAGACACGATTACCTATTAAATTATTCGACACAACTAAAGAAGTTGAAAACAGAAATTGAGAAATAAAGCCTTTTAATTTAGTGCTTAAACAAGTGTATTTGTAAACAAAAATAATTCAGACCAAAAATGTAAATATTAAGCTAATTCACCCTATAATTAAAAAATGCCATTACTTTCTTACCAACCAATAGAAATAGTAATAAACTTAAATTTTCACAATTTAATTTATAAAATAATTAACCTAATACTTACTCTTCTTCGGTAACATGTTCTGTTTCAGTAACTTTTGTCGTCTTCTTTTTAGAAGATTTACTTTTAGTTGTCGACTTTTTTACCTTTTTACTTTTCTTACTTGTTTTACTAGCAGATTTACTTTTTGAGGCTCGACTGGATTTACTTGTTTTTGATTTTTTTTTGGTGGTAGTAGTTTTTTTACTTCCTTTTTTTGGTGACTTGCTCCCACCTTTCTTCTTTGGTGACTTGCTCCCACCTTTCTTCTTTGGTGACTTGCTCCCACCTTTCTTTGGTGATTTGCTTGTTGATTTGCTCGTACTTTTTGATTTGCTTTTTTTGCTCACACTTTTACTTTTTGTTTTACTTTTCTTCTTGGTTTTAGCTTTAGTTTTTTTCTCTTTTATATGATCCTCTTCCTGTTTCTTTTTTTCTTCTTCTAAAGCAACTGTAAGCATTTTGGCGTCAACGGGACCTGGGCTGAGCTCTTCACTGCTGGAATGAGACTTGGGGGTTTCACTACTGTCATAATCTGAGTCGACTTCCCCCATATCGATTTGTGTTATGTAAATTGGTTCAAAATCTAGCATTTTGACAATAACCCTCAAAGGAGGAATGTTCTTTCGGTTACCTGGCATCTTCTCGCCAGCACCTACTTCCTCTTCCACAACAGTAGTTTGTTTTTTCGTACTCATTGCACTTTTTGAAGTGGTAGATTTTTTGGATTCCTTCTTTGATGAACTCTTAGATGATTTTTGAGAACTTTTTCTAGAAGATTGCTTTGAAGATTGTTTTGAAGAAGTTTGTTTACTGCTGCTTTTCTTCTTTTTTTTAGGTGACCCACTCTTTGATTTTTTACCCTTTGGTGATTTTGACCCACTCTTTGATTTTTTACCCTTTGGTGATCTTGACCCACTCTTTGACGATGATTTGGATTTGGATTTAGATTTGGACTTTGATTTTGACTTTGTCACCTTAGAAGAGCTCTTATTGGTTTTCTTTGAGGAAGTTGTTAATTGTTTTATTACCGATTTTTCATTTTCAGTATCCTCTAATTCCTCAGTCTCTTCAAGTCTTTCATAGCGCATTATTCTCCTCCCATGCTTATCCTTGGGTGCAATATGGTTTTGGTGCTTCCCATCCGATATCTCTATTCGATCAACCATGAGCTCAATTTTATATAACTGTGGAAATTTAAGTTCGTCCAAGATCGCATCTCCATCTTGGCATTCAGGCCATACCTCTTTGACCTGTAACTCTTCATTGGAATCCTCATCTTCAAAGTTTTGCCGCTTTGCACTCATTGTTTAAAATTTAGTACATTCGATCCAAAATTGTTTTAAAACAAACTAAAAATAGGATTTTATTTTAGAACTTAACATATGTATGATTTGAGTCAATATTCTTTTGTTTTTGTTTTTTAATTCTATAAAACTGTACCGGGTGCAATTCTTACCCTTGTACCTGGTATTTGATTTTAACGAGTACATATTGAAAAAGTCTCAACAATATAAATTTCAACCTTTTCATTTTATGCTAAGGAAATGTATCAAATAAACCTATTTAATTATTATTTTTATTAATTATTATTTAACAAATTAATATAATGCTGCCTTGGTACTCTTCCTTCAACATATGATGGTATATAACAAAATTAAAGAATAACGAGACACCTCACTATGCACATAAAGTAAAGTTTGAAACCCTAAAAGAGAATATAGAGATGACAGGCCCTTCTTTACAACAGGTCCAAAACGGCAGAGGGCATGGGGTATGCCACATACACTGAGAAAAAATTAAAACATTATCCCTCCTGCAACAAGTGAGTGCACAGCAGAACTAAGTGCCATATCCCTCACACTGGGCATCATAAAAAGTAAATCTTATAAATCTTTTGTATTATGTACTGACTCACTTAGTGTGGTCCAGAAGCTCGGGAGAAGAGCTTCTATGGACCCCCTAGTAAAAAAAAAAAAAGCATCGACACAGATGGTAAGGTCGTGTTGGCGTTAGTTCCCAGCTATATAGGGATAGTCAGGACGAAGAAGCAGACAGCCAAAGAGGCCGCCGGATCCCATCCTGTCCCAGCGGATTTAAGGTTATTAGTTTTTAATGCTGTAAAAGAAGAATGGAGAATCTGCTGGGCTTGTAACAATAGAAATCATCCTTCCAAACTGTGGCAAGTTAAGAAAGATGTCAGTCCCTGGTCCATGGAGAACGGGTCACAAAGGGAAACGGGCACACTGACAAGATTACCCATTGGTACAAGAATAATGCAAGGGCAACTACTGGAAGGATAGCGACGTTGTAGGTGCACGTTATGCAAGAATAATGTAGAAGGCTTGACGTATATAGAAAATGGCTTTTGATCAGACCTGTGCTTAGTCTTGGGGGCACTGGGTAAAGATTATTGTTCTGGTGGTCCAGGGCTAAGGATTTTTAAAAGTATATATAGTGTTTTTGTGTTGTTTCTGTGTTGACTTTATGTTAATTTATTTGAATGAATTTAACTTATTACTGTGAAAAGAGGGGTTGTTTAAACCCTTAAAAAAAAATTCTCAGTGGCTTGTGCATACATATAGGATTATATTTATTTCAGGTACCTTTTGCGCCTTCAGGCTTTAAAGTGCGTTATCTCAAAGTGTTCGAGCCGAAACTCAACTATTCAGACCACGACGTCATCAAGTGGGTGCGATACATCGGAAGGAGTGGTCTCTATGAGACTAGGTGCTGAACTGGTAGATCTGAACTAGGAATCGGAAGACATTACAGAACAATAAACAAACTGGGATAAACAGTACGAATTGCATGCATCAAAGCTTTTTTGTTTATTACTGGGTAATTTGGAGATCAATTTAATTAAAATCAAAACTTGCATGCTATACACTTAAAAAGAGTTCTCTTTACCCAAAACAACACTTGTGTTTACAAACATAACTTATCAAACAATTGATATTACAAATATTTTAAAATAAACTAAGCTTTAAACAATGAAGTTATTAATTAAAAGAAACAAATTTACTTATTATTTTTTACTTTATACTCTTATTATTAATATATTGAATAACATACATATAATCCCTGTGTTATAATCATTCCTACAATAATAAAAATATTATTTGTTCCCTCAGGGTAAATGATGTCGTCTTGTATCACTTATAATGTATTATAATCTTATATATTCGTTACAAGTTGAAAATGAAGATATGAAATTATATTTTAATATATTTATGTTCCCCCATTCTCGATTTAATTGCTTTTCTAGATCTTATGTTTATACTTATATTTTAATTAGTCAAAATATATATGTATGCTGGAAAAAATATATATACTCGATAAAATTGTTGGAAACAAATATATGATCGAAATTAAATGTATATTAGAATATAAATAAAAATGTACACCTGTAAATTGATTGTTTTTTTGTTTTTTTTTCTCTGAGTCCCATATAATTAGCTAACAGACTGTTATATATATTATATTTACAGTTGTATAAATTCAAGGACAAAAGTAAAGGAATAAAACATGCAGAAGGCTGGCGATGACATCAGCAGTTTGTTGACTTCCCACGTTTTATTAAAAATAAGGTGGTGCTGGAATGTTTTACATTTTTAGGATAAAAAATACATTTATATAGCGACATCCTTGATTGCTTGACAATAACCGGTGGTTTTCTGCAGATCAATTTTGGGTAGTAGTCATTTGTTGGCATGCAGGATCTTAATCTTACCAATAATAAATGATTATATGATAAAGGACAAAAGCATTCAAAATAAGCTAGAAATTTGCCATATTGTCTAGTAAAAATTTTTAAATACGTTAACTGTGGGGAAACTTCTTTCTTCTGAAAGTATATAAGTATAGATGATTAAAGGAAGGAAAATACGCTTAAATATACTCTTACGGAAATTACTTTTTATTAATAATAATCTTTTTACAAATAAAGCTTACTCCCTGTTAAGACTAGATATAACCACAAAAATAATAATAAAAATAAAATTAAAAATTGTCAAATACATATATAACTGTGCACTAACAAAAATGAAACTTGATTGCTAATCAAGTGTATTTATGTATATTTATTTATGGTACATTAGAAAATAACAATGTAAATGCACTACATAATAAAATGAAGTTTGGGGTTTGGAATGTGGTTTATAGCTGGGAGCAACAGGAAGTTGAAGAGGTAATTGCTTGTATGGGTTCAACTGAGAAAATTACTAAACCACAAGACATGGACATGGCCTGCAGATATTAAACCATTTAAATTATAACAATAAAATATATAAATACCTTTGAAACAAAGTCCATATAATATAAACGATCAGTTTAAAATTGTCCTATCCAGAATAAGTACATTACTATTTTATAAATACTTTCTTTTATTAAAAAAAAAAAAGCCCATACACTCACTCCTAATCAATTGACCTAAAATGACTGCCATTATTAACTTGTTATTTATCAATTTTGTTATGCAATAACAGATCCTCAATTTGAAAACAATCATGTTTTTAGAAAAGTAAATTGATATTTTTGTCTTTTCAGTTAGTTAATAGAAAAGGAAGAAATAGAAATATCACAGAGGATCTTATTCTCTTTAACAAGTCTGGACTACTCTTTGATCATTTCTAAACTGGAGTCACTTCCATTTGTACCAGAGCCGACACCCTCCTCCTCGACTTCCTTCTCTTCGGAAGAAGCCATTTGCCATGCTGGGATGGAGAGAGGTGTTGCGACTGTTGTGCTCGGAAACTGCTTCCTTAAAATGTGAATAATAACAAATTTTAAGTGAATTAAACTTTAAAAATGTAGTTATTACCGATTCAGAAGTATTTTCTTTAGAGAAGCAAGTTCATTCTTGAGCTCTTCGAGTTGTCTGTTTAAGCTGTCAATTTTCTTCTCAGAGGCTTTCATCACCTCTTCCTTGATCTTGACAACGTCTAACTTTATGTCGGAGACTGAGGTTGTGATTAATTGGTCCAGATCAGAAATTCGAGTGTCTAGACTTTTCTTACTACCAAACAGGAATGGTGCAAGGTACTTCTGAAGTGGATTAATGTTTACTTGAATATTTTGCATTTTTTTAATATATATTATGAATGGCATAGAAGCTAATACCTTGTAAAACCAATACACAGCATAGCTAAGGGCACCAATAATAGCGATTGTATCTACAACATCACGGTACTTGGACCACCTTGACTGTACTGGCCATGGGGTCATGTACGGCTGTAGTACTGTAGTTTGATTTTTACTGTGTTCAAACGACTGCAATCAAATGTTTGAATTTAATTAAACAGAAAATAAACCTTTAAATAAATTCCCTAATAAAATTTGAAGTAAATATTACTTTGGCATACCTTGTTAAGTGAAAAATAACTGTTGGGACATCTTACTCACCCTGCTTTGGATAATCACCTGGGACTGCTTGACAGCCAGGTCTATTTCTGCATCCGAGAGGCCTTTTTTCTTCAGAAAGGCAACTTTTGACTCCATAGGGCTATGAAGAACATTTTGGGAGGAAAGAAATCTGGCTGCAGTCTTCACCTGACACACAATTGAATATTTGTAATTATTTCAATAGACATTCTCTCATTTCAAAATGTAAACGTAAAAGAAGATAAATTTTATTTTGGGGTTTTGAGCCCGCTTGAATAACAAAAATGTTGAAAATTTGGCACAATTTATGTTGAAATAAATATATAAATAGAGATTTAAATGTAATAGCATAAAAATAAATAAAATGTACCAAATTAAATAAGAAGGGAAAAATTAACAGAAATGAAACATACCGAAACAAAAAATTAACCATCCTCCTCCCTCTACCTTCAATTCAAAGATGGTGTGGGAATGCCTAACATATCTCCAGCTATGGGAAAATCTAAGCAGGTAAGTCTGATGAGAGTATGAGTACACGAGGGGATTGAAGGCAATGAACAGGCGGACAAATGAGCAAAAACAAAAACAGAAATAGACCTCACCACCCTTCGGATCAAAACTTCAAGTTAGCAAACCCCAAAGCTTGCTAAAAACGAAACAGCAAATGGATAGAGAAAGAAATGACCTCTCACTGAATGAATTCACGAGGTGTAAAAGAATCAAAGAAGTTCCTCAACATCTCAACCACAAAAACAAAAATCTACTCTTCCTCAGTAGACAAGAATTAAGGAAAATAATTGACCTTAATTACTTTAAAAGTTTGGAAATAAAAAATGGGTCAAAACACGATAGGTCAGTGATTCCCAAACAGTGCGCCAAAAAATTTTCTATAAAAAATATAATTTTTATATTTACAAAACACCTAAAAGTAAACCCCCCCCCCCAAGGACACAGTGGAATACTCGGGAATGAGCAGGCTGATCGTGCTGATAAAATGGGTACTAAAGAAGGATTTCCATGAGAAAAAGTGCCTCATAAAGATTAAGATTAGATATTAATAATCATTTAAAAGAAATTATAAGAAATAAATGATACAACACAAAAGATAACAAAGTGAGAGAAATGAAAACAAGTACTAGACAATGGAAAACAGCAATCTGAAAATACAGAAAGGAAGAAACAGTACTTGCTAGGTTGCGAATTGATCATTGAAGGATTACATATAGGCACCTGATGGCGAGGGAACCGCCACCTCAATGTTTATGCGGAGAGGTAGTAACTGTAAAGCATTTGCTACTTGTGTTCTGTACAAAATATGCGCCTCTACGAGTCAAATACAATTTGCCGCACAGCTAATGAGAAAATCTGGGTGACTGTCAAGAGATTACAGATGTACTGATGGAATTCTTATATAAAACTGAATTGATAAACTTAATTTAATTTTTGTGTAAATAACTTTATGTATGTCTAAATATAATGAAATTTAGGTAGCTTTAACCCTAGTGGTTGTTTGCCTATTTAGAAAAAAAAAACCTCTTGTAAAACCCTAAAAAATAAGACCCTGGTGGTCATCCTATCTCAATATGGATGTTAACGGGACAACTGCAATTGTGTATTTTATATTATTGCCCCTCTCCAAAAAAATTATTCACTTTTAAACTTTTATTATTTAGTGCATCATTTCTTTTCAAAAGGCAAGTTTTTCATAAAAAAGAGTAGTTTTGATTACTTTTTAAATAACATTGCGGGCACAATAAGAGGTTTAGATACGCTTTTCTGGACCGGAAATGAATTACTACTGTTATTGTAAAATTCACATTGAGATAGACCATTGTTTTGTCCTGGGACACCACAGAAAAATTCTAATGTACTAAGGGTGCTAGAAAATAATGTTTGAGAACCACTGCTATAGTCTTTTAGGTCGCACTAGAAGAAAGGGAGCCTGGTCAATTGCGACCTCGTATAATAGAGAAAAAACATTTTTTTAACAAGTTTTACACTCAATCTTGAAGCCATCATTAACGATGCTTTGGCAAGTATTAAAAACTACATGTTACAATAAGTATGGGAAACCTCTAATTCTGCACACAGGTTGTTCGATGATCAAGACCTGATCGCTGAGGATGGCAATCAACTAACAATTGATTATGGACAACTAGTATAAATTAAATCTGAATTGAATAGAGAGTATGATCCATTTTTATTTTATTCCATAAATTATCTTTAATAGCAGTTAAATGTCTTAAACAACACTGTTAGGAGTATTGTTTTTAATTAGTTTATATGCAAAATATATTGTGTGATGATAAGAATGAGCAGGCATTTTAAAATGCAACTATTCTTTCTTCGTGTGTGCGTAGAAAATTGTTAACTTTTTTCTGACTGTCATTAAAGCTTAAAATTACCAGATCTTCCCTAGGTGGGATAGGGATGTTGCTATCGATAACGCTTTCTTCCTTGACCTCTTCGCTATTCGACATTTTCCCAGAGGGTCGTCAATCGCGCTAGGGGATGAAATGGGCAATTTATAGATAAACTCAATGACTAGGCATAGTGCTTTTCTACCACTACTCGAACAAGATGAGAAAAACAAAAAATAACCTGGACGTATACAACCTCCCTAACACCTCCTCAAGGTCTCGATAGAGGCCATTAAAGTTTTGTAAACGTCAAACCGGTGAAATTTTTAATTTTTTTAAGGTCATAAATCAGCTTTAGACTATTTTCCCTTTATTCCTCTATTTATTTATTCATTATTATAATTTATTATTATTCTTACTTACGCACATATATATATATATATGCATATGTAATATATACATAAAACAATAATTAAAAATATGGATATGTTCAACATAACAAACAAATAAAATATTGTATTTGTCATAATATACATACATATAAAATATAAAAGAAGTGAGGAAGAATGATAAAAATTTAATGAAACAACAGAAATATATAAACAAATCCAATGCAATTGCCATGACCAATATATTTTAAAATGTTTAAATTGATGTAAGGAAAGGTAAAAACTGTCACAATGTAAAGACAGTTAATTACTCGTTTCCATGAGTCGAGGAATCAGACTAAATATAAAATAATTTTTATTATGATGAGATTTTGAAAGTAATATTTTTTGTCTGGTGTTACACAGTGGAACATGGAAATTTAGCAAATTGCCAGTAAGTTTAAACAAGAAAGTGAGAATAAATCATCACTGTACATTTTCTATTGAATTACATAGTATTTTCTGATGTGGCGACCATACAACTGAGCAGTATTCTAAAATGGGAATGACCATTGTCTTAAATACTACAATCATTGCTTCTGCATCCTCAATTTTTTTTGTGTTTCTACGTATGAAACATAAAATTTGATTTGCCTTATTAATTAGTGAGGTGCAAAGAGAGTTAAATATCAAGTGGTTTGAGTAGGTGATTCCAAGGTTTTTTTAATAGTGTTCTGCATGCCAAATTGGATTTCTTGTATAGCATAGTTGTAAAAGACAACACTATCTCCAAAACTATAACAAACAACCTTACATTTATTTTTACGTTTAATTTTTTGGCAGAAGCTCAGCATCATGAATGAAAATTATAGCAGTACAGACTTTCAGGTCGTCAGCAGAGGGAGAAAACAACTGAGTAAAAACAAGGAGAAATATCATTAATAAATACATTGAAAAGAAATGGGCCAAGTAACAACCCTTGAGGTATGCCAGATGGGACTTTTATTTAACTTAAGTTAATAAATTAAGTTTTACAATTTGATTTCTATCTTGGAAATAGGAGCTAAACCAGCTGAGGAGAGAACCATTTATTCTAAGGATGAGTGTTCGAATAAGGAGACAACGATCAATTTTATGTCTTGACAAAATCTAAATGTATTGTAGCAACCTGTTGATTAGTTGCGTAGTCTTGAAAAAGAAGTTTAATATTAATTATTTTTCTTTTAAAGACATTAAACAACATATACACAACACTAACTATTAAACAACATACTTACTTCATTTTTGTCATACCTAATAAGATGTTGAACGAGAAGGCGGGAAACTATATTGTCCAGGTATTATGTTTTAACTTAAATTTTATTAAAATAAAAAATTTTATTTGTACATATTGATTTTTATTATTTTTATATGCCAAATATTCTTATTATTACATTTTACTTTTAAATCTCTGAACGAAAGTTTGTTCAATATTGAATATCGATGATCGATGTTTTTCCCCCGACGGTCAACCTTACTACTAGTGGTCAGTGGGTTCTGACGTTCTGTTGACTGTTGTCGTTACTAACTTACTAGTTATTGTTCCTTCTTCAACTGTTCAGTCGTATCTCTCAGTTATTTATTACAAATAACCAATCATGGGAAAAGGCTTCAATAATTACATGTGCAAGAAATTCTTCCATCCTGCATCCCGGGACAATCTGAAAAGGGTGAGCATTGGGGGTTGGCGAATTTCCTTCCACCCTGAATTTTACGTCGCAGTTAACATTTCAATGTAGTATTTCAACTTTACGGGCTTGTTTTAATATTATTTTTATTTTATGTAATTCCTCGGATAGGGCTTTTGACCAACAAAGCCAGTTGGTTGAAGTTGTGCAAGAATAAGAGACTGCTTGTTTATTGTTATCCAGTTGGAAGTTGACACGATCCAAAACTGAAAATAGTAATAAAAAAAAGTAGCCGAACTAACAGTTACAAGTACAAACTATTTAACTACTAAAAAAACCAACTTATCAAAAGCCTTTTGATACTTACATGCCCAGCTTCCTTGGCTCCTTGTGGAGAGCGAATAGGCCTGATGCCCTAATGTTAACTATTCTTAAGCACAGATGCACATATATCTACATATACAGTTATAAAGATGTATTTTTTTAAACTCTTGATCTAAAACTCAAAAAGACCCCAGATGTAGATATGGTTTCAGGGTGTATTATACTGCGCCCTTTGAGAGCTATTGTTTCCCCCGTGCTCTGCCTAAAGCACATCGGTGAGTCCTATTTCATCAAGAAACTTGATTGGTAGGCCCGGTTTCAATGGTTGAAGCTCTTCTATTGGTCACATTATATATCCACAACATTTCTTCCTGTGGGCTAGTGTGGCTCCGCAGTTTGTTAGTAAATGTGTTGGTGTCTCTTTTGCCTCCTTGCAGAATCTGCATGTGCCATCTTGGATTATTCCAATTTTCTTTAAGTGTCCATTTAATTTGCAGTGTCCTGTTAGGAATCCTATTAGGATTCGCAGTTTGTTCCTGCTTCCCTTGACCCTCCCAAGAAGATTCTTGGATTGTCTGTGTCCAATGAGTGAATTCCGAAGTTCCCTCATTTTCTTTTTGTCCTGTCTGAGATACAAGTTGATAAGGTGAAGGGTTCAGGTCCTATCAGCGGTGTAGCAGCCCTCATATCAGGGTGTCTGCTTTCTCGTTGCCTTCTACTCCCATGTGTCCTGGGACCCAGCAGAGGCTGACTTTATTCTGCGTACCTAGTATATTTAGTTTGGTTTTGCAGTTCAGCACCGTCCTTGAACTAATGGTATTTGAGTTTAGTGCTTTGATGGCTGCTTGGCTATCTGACATGATAGCTATATTCTTGTTCTTGTACCTCTTTACCTAAGTTGAGTCGGGTACATCTTTCGATTGCATGAATCTCAGCTTGGAAGATACTGGTATATTTTCCCATGGGTTCTGAGTGTTTGGTTCCAGATGGTACACTAAAATGTAATTTGAAGAAATATGTACAAACATATTTTGTACATTGTTTTTAATATCTTACGATAAAGTTTGTATGGTGAGAAGATTGATGGTAGAATACCTCATCGATCACAGGTTGTAGAATTAACCTGTGATCGATGAGGTATAGAACCAGTTGAGTTCTAGAGTAGAGTGGGATCATGGTGAAACTGAAAATCAACTGAGCATAACTTGCTGCACCCTTCGTCATATTGTCTCTGCCTGTATATCTGTTCATACATGATAATAGGCACTCACGATACAGAAATTTTCAATTTGTGTTCAGTTAGAAGAAAATTATTGGAAGCATGAAATTCGAGGTCTTTCCAGTTATCTGCGCTTCTCATTATCTACAGTAATGCTTGGTATGTATCCTCTGTGGATGAGTACTAAATTTTTTTCTCCCAGTCACTATGGCCATCATTGTAACTGGAGCAGACAGGCTTAGTGAAACCAGCCAATCTGCCACTCAATATGAAATATTAAGTAGCAAAGAGTTGAGTCTGCATGTCATTTAAGATGAGGTTCCCGTTCTCGGGGAGGGAAAGCGTTATTTGTTTATGATGAACCGAAAGCTTGGTATGGGATCGGGCCAATTTGTCGACAAATTGTGGTTGTTGGGGATAATGTTTTAAACCGTAAATCAAAAGGATCACTTCACAAAAAAAAAAAATTCAAATTGACATTTTGTTTGAGGAGTTTTGATTGGAAGGATTGGACGTATTGGTTATTAGATATCTTTACGGAACCCCACAGTTCCCAGATTGATTGCAGTAATGTCTTGTTTTGCTTAGTTTTGATAGTAAAAACAGATTTTGTCCTAAAAGTTCATTGTGGTCCTGTTATGTTGTTGTGATTTAAGTCTTGTGTGGGGATTTCACATTAGCTTGCTGTTTAGGTATAGTTTAAAGTATTTAAGTTGAGTGGAACTCAGTAGCTCCTTGTGGTTTATCTAGTAATGGTTTGAAAAAACTGCAATACCTCAGCGCAATAATTTTATGTTACACCTGTCAAATATCAGACCTCCCCTGCAAATAGCTCTTATTTTAACTAATTTTGGGTTATATTTTCTAGTTGACAATTCTTTCCTAGTGTTTACCCGATGATTTTGAATAAGATTCCAATCCACTTAATATATTAAACTACAAAAAAAGAACTTTCATTGTTGCTTAGTTTAATTAATTTATTGGGTGGATGTATAGTGTTAGATTAACAGCAGAATATCCCATCAACCTTTACTTATGCTTTAGGTTTTATTTGTGTTAAGAGTGATTAACCGCAGAATCTAAATTTGATGGACAGCAGTGACAAAACTGAGGACTATCTACAAACAGCTAAAAAGTCCATGCCATTCATAATTGAACGTGATGCTGGCAGTGTAATTAATAATTACAAATACAGTACATTGATTGTAGATTCACCTTTCAAAAACACAGCCAGTAAATAATTAACAATTTTTAATCAATTTGATTATTTAACCAATATTAGAAATAATAAAACACATTTTAAGATAAATTCGACTTAACATTTGCTTCTCTTGTTGATTTAGAAACGCCCGTATTGAAGTCCAATGTTGAATTAAGTTGTTATTGCATAAAATAATCACACATTTTTTAAAATCTAAATGTCTGCTAATAGTGCCGTATTTCTACTTATCTCATACCCACATATAATTATAAAAAAAAGTATAAGCTAGGATAGGGAGATTTGTTTTTTAATATTTCTCATATGTCCATTAATTAAATAAAAAAATATTGTTCAGGTATGGATGGCCCAGCAGAAAGATGATGCTTACAAAAAGAAGCAAGATGAACTTAGGATGCAATATGAAAAAGAGCAAGATCTATACAACAACAAGTAATGATAGAAATTTTGTTATTTTCAAACATCTTATTAACATTTTTTTAAAATATTTTTCAGGGCAATGTTGAGTAAGGAAAGCAAAGATAAACTTAGTGTCAATTTCATGTATGAAGCACCACCTGGGGCAAAGAAGGAACGAGAAAAAGAAGATAACGAGCCAGAGTATAAGTTCGAGTGGCAGAGAAAGTACAATGCACCAAGAGAGGAGTAAGTGTCTTTTTTCCTAAGATTTAATTTGTCGTGTTATACTTATTTGGTAATTCTTGTAGCTATTGCAAAGGAGACTCAGAGATTCAGGACCAGCCATTTGGTATTTTGGTGAGAAATGTACGATGCATCAAGTGTAGGAAATGGGGCCATATCAACACTGGTGAGTTTATGTTTTATTTGTTTAAAAATTTCATTCTCTGATGGAAGTCACAATTTTCATAGTTATAAAGTTCAAATTGTTTTAATTTAGTGGACCAGTGGAAAATTTTACCCCCACAAAATGTATAATTTTTGGTTATTAATTGTTAGACTTCTTCAGAGATCGTGGAAATGGCATTCAGGTAAGCTTTGGACTAAAATCAAACTGTCAGCAGTATCAAATATTGATGATTATCATTTTACAAAAAGAATATTTATAAATTTTTATCTGTTTAGACAAGGAATGCCCATTGTACAACCAATCAACAGTTAGTGAAATTGCAACTGAATCATCTGATGCCCTTCAACTTTTAAGAGGTATGCGTGAAGATGGTTTAAGGTTGAAGAAAACTGCTCTTGATGCCCAGCAACATGTTGAAGTTCCAAGATACAAGGCAACTTTTCTTTTATAATTTTATTATTTATTTATTTTTTACAATGTATATGATGTTTAACAATTTTTCTTTTGTGAATAATTTTGGCAGGGTATGATCCCAAATGACAAGAATGATGATAAAGTTGATGATAAGGAAGTTGAATATCTCAAGAAATTGTCAAAAAAAGAAAAACTCAAACTTTTGAAGTAAGAATCTTTTTTCTTGTCTTTTGTTTCTTTAACTAAAATTTTGCTTATTATTATTATTTTTTTTTTTTGCAACTACATAATAATGCTATACTCTTTAACACATATAACCATATAAAGCTATAGTTAATCATGTACTATCCAAATTATGTTTTATTTTTCCTTTTTCTCTTCTTATTTTTAAATAAAATAATTTAGTTTTTACATTTAAAATTATTTGTTATATTTTATTTTATATGTGCTTGCTTTTTATAACACGGCACAGTCTATTATTCAGTTTTTAAAGATATAAAGTATTTCCATTTTAATTATATTTTAGTAGATTAAAATTCTCAAACAAATTCTCACATTTTACTTATTTCTAAAGGAAACTGGAAAAACTCGAGAAGAAAAAGGCAGCAGATTCTTCTGACACAGATGAGAGCTCAACAGAGTCGTCCGAGGATGACCGCCGGCATGAGAAGAAAAAGAGTAAGAAGAAGCACTTGAAAATTAAAAAGAGGAGAGAAGATGAAGATTCTGACTCAGATGATGATGAGGACTCAAAGAAGGAGCGCAAAAGGAGGTACAAGAAGAAAAGTGCGCTCAAGACTAAGAAACGAAAATGTAAATCCAATGACTCTGAATCTGATTCAGAATCAGACAGTGAGCGGCGGAGAAGAAGAAAGAAGAATAAAAAGAAGCACAGAGAGAATAAGTAAAAAATGATAACATTATTAATAACTTAAACAAAATTTGTGCATTATTATTGGAAATATGCTTTAAAAATCTATGCAATTTTTTAAAACTATAATTATATTTTTTCAAAATTTTAAATCTTATTTTCTAATAGGTAATCGTGTCAATCCTTTTTTTATTTTTATTTTTTTATTTCATTGATAAACATATACAGTATTTGTTAAGTATCCAGTTGTAATTTAAAAAATAAACCTTAAATTGACTATCCCAGGCAAAGTATTTCTCATATTTTTTTCCACCCTCTCATCAACAATCATACATTTACTACATTATTTTTAACACAAAGGATAGGACGAACTTATATTTTTGAAGTTCATTTAAAAAATAATAATAGAAAATTTATTAATTTTCACATGTAAAAGAAAAACAACTGACTGATTGACCATTTATTTTCTAAATTAGTAAAAATGATCAAAAAACATTTCTATAAAATAATAGAACGCATGCAAAAAATATGAAGAAGAATATAAAAAGAATGCATATGTGAATCAGAATGTGATGCGAGGTAGACAGCAGATGCCAGTAGCCTATACTCGTCCAGAGCGGAAGTCCAAAGCCCATGGTTTGTAAAAACAGTATGTAAGACATCGTTATACTTGTCATATGATCTGGTGACTCCGAATGGGTGAATTGGTAGAGCGGGATGCAGCCGAAAGCGATAGCAGCACTCTTCAGCATCATTCCCGGGACCAGGATGTATGGCAACATCGGTGCTGGTTCCAGTAAATTGAAGACTTCAATAGTGAAATTCGGTTCTGTGAATAGCACGATTGAGTACACTCCTCCTATGTACAGGCTGACTGTATCTTTGTTTTCTGTTGTGTTGTAGCCAATGAATCTGATTTTGTACCTGCCACCTTTTATATTAAAGAACTTTCTATTTTCTTGGTATTCCATTTCAACTGTTGTGTCATACAAATTTGTCGTTGAATCTATAATGTTGAAATCGCCGACTATATTCTCATCAATGGAAATAGCAAATGTGGTCGGCATTCCTGGGCAGTTGAAACCCTGTGGGGACGAGTATATAGGATCGGGTCCATCTAATTTTCGCACACCGTTTTCAGTTATAATGTAACTCATAGATTTTGCTGTTGTGATGTCTATCACATCCGATAGTATTTCATGTCCATAAGAATATGAAAGATTCATGGTTAATGACATGTTGAGTCTTCCGATGAAGAGACCTCTTTCTTTTAAAACGTGTGCACTGAAAAAACTCGAGTTGATACTCAGCGCTGCAGGGATCCCGTTGTAAATCAGAACTTGAGCCATGGTGAATGATGGGAGTTGGTTTATTTTCTCTATTTCCAATTGTATTATGTAAGCCCAAATCAGAGCACCTCCCAAGAACAAGTACGATATCAGCATTAACTTTAATTGTGTGATTTTCAAGTGTACAGATTTGAATTTATCGAGAAGAGGTAATATCAAGTATTTTACTGCCAGGAGAAAAACACTCGAAAATAAAGCTTCTAAAGGAGTGTAATGCGGCCTTAAACTAAAAAACTTTCCAGCATGTAAATATTGAAATTGTTGGTAAAACACTTTGTCCAGTAAGAACTCGGCTGATCCATATCCTATGTAAGGCAAAAAGAGAAACACCAAAACGGCAAACTGTTTTCCAGTGGTTAGAGCATAGCGGGAATTGGGATTGAATTGAACCTCTTTATGTGAGTGTGGTTGCTCAGGCCATTTTGTCTTCTTATTAAACATCTCCAATATCGTTTTATAAACTGCTACTAATGAATAAATCAGAGTGTTGTTCACCATTGATAATTGAGGGGGCGTTTGCACCATATTAGACTTCATAATAAAAAATGTTCCAACATAAACCATGCTTGAAATAGAAATGACAAAACCGTTCATGAGTAAGTAGGTTGTTTCAAATGGGACCAGGGCGACAAGACCATGGACTAATATTGCAAAATACCTCATCCATATGCACCAGAAGATAAACGTACTAAAATTTTCACTTCTTTCTACCTGTGGATCTTGTGCAAACAAGAATGCAAGTCTTGTGCCTCCAGCCAATGTAAAAACAGCGAATGTATATTGCAGAAGCATTAGAATTCCTTTACGTGTTTCAACCATCACTGTTGGGATACTAGCAACGGAACAAAACAGAGGTACAATACAAAAAAACAATAAACTTATTACCATTAGTCTGTATTGACTTATAACAGCATCAGCTAGCCAGCCAATAAAGATTGCAAACAACGCTCCAATGTAAAACTGAATTTCTATTAAATAATATGATTCGATCGGAACCAGCCCAAGGCTATCGGCATAGCCTGTCCTTAAAAGCTGGGAAGCACTTTCTCCGACATATTGGAACAAAAATTCACCAGCCACTAACATTCGCAATTCTGGCCCCCAGGTTAACAAATTTCTTAAGGAACTGGCCACTATGCGAACTGTATTACCATGTTCAGATAGCGTATCATTTTCATTACCTGCAAGTCTTGACTGTTGATTGATATTTCTATTATGTTTCTTACGTATGGCCCTCTTGTCACGATGAGTTGAGATTTCCTCTTGGTGAACTCTTGGTGGTTCACGTTGGGAGGAAGCCTGCGACATTTTTTTTTCTGGTGTTCTCTTATCTGGCATTTTAAATGGATTTAAAAACATTGAAATAAAAAAAAAAAAAATTGACGAATAAAGGAGTAATTCTATAATACAATCTGTCTTTAAACTTTGTATAGAAATGTTAAAAATATACACTAAAAAAAGGAACAAATAATTTTTTGTTTATAAGGCATATAACTTTCATATGTTTTATAATATTAACAGTTGTATTTTACTTTAAAGCATTTGGCTCTTACATCTTTTAAAGATTTTAAAATTATGTATGCAATTTTAAATTGCAAAGTGTAAATATTTAACTCTTAAGATAATTGAAAAACTCCAAACTTAAGATATTGGAACTTTTGTAAATCATTGATTTTTAGAGTTTTTGAGGTGTAGATCCAGTTTTAGCATGATAGTGAGATAAAAACCATCTAGGAAACCGGATGCCCTTTGAAAATATGTTAACTGTTTTCAGAAATTCAACATTGGTTCTATTAAGTCACTTCACAGTATAAAGTGTCACAGATAATGCCAATAAAAATATTTAAAAAAAGTATCTGTATGTTTACTCTAATGAGAATTGAGTATGGTATTGACCTTTGATGATAGATACCCAAGTAAAGAGCTGGCCATAAGGCCTCAACTCGTTTGCCCAGCTTTTTACTAAATGAGAATTTCTTCGAACAAAAAGTTTGTTTTTTGAAAAGTTTTCCCAATGTATTTTATAAAAATCTAATGACATTTTAACTCTTACTGTGTGTTTATACAATCAGTGAAACCAAAATAGGCGTAACCAGTTTTGATCTAGATAACGAAGTATAAAAAAAATATCAATACAAACTTTTATGTATACATGTGAATACAGACAGTTTTGACAAAATGCGACATCATTGTTCAGCTAATAACTGAAAGGGAATCGATAATGTCAATAAGGGAAGATAACAATGATTAGCCCTTTAATTAAAGACAACCCAATCCCGAAATCTTTTATTACAACAAAATGAATAGACAGAGAAGAGGTTCATGCCAAAAGTTTAAGTTATTAGATTTGAGAAGATCAACAGCCAACGCAAGAGAGAGAAATCGCATGCACAGCCTTAACGCTGCACTTGATAAATTAAGGAGGTCAGCTTTATTTCTGTCATTTTGATTTTATTTATTTAAATTTTATGTTAACTGATAATGCTAGCAGGGATTTAATTTTTATAAAAAATATAAATAATTGGTTTAAACAATTAAAATAAATAAAGTATAAAGTTTAAAAAAAAAGATTTAATGTTTTTGACATGTTTTGAAACTGATGAAAGCCTGAAGCCTGTTTGGAATAGAAAATTCACAAATGTATACATTTCATTTAATTGAAGGACAGTACATCCTAATATGAATAATTAAATTATTAGAAAAACTGATGTATGTATTAGAGATTAGCAATAAGACCAGCATACCAAAAATATAAGTACATAATAGCAAATGGGAAAATTTCTTGTCTTTGTAAAAATAATATTTATATATTTTAGTCATCTTCCAGTGGATTTAGAAGATCAGCAGAAGTTGTCAAAAATAGAAACACTTCGTGTTGCCTGCAATTACATAAAAGTGCTCAGCGAAGCAATTTTCACCCGTTCACCGATCTGCCCATTTTACCTAAATAAATACCTGAGCAGTGGACTGACCCAAGGGAGAGGAAATCCGAATAGGAAGTCCCTTATGGACAATGTATGGGATCATCGAGTTGTAAAAATTTAAATTAAACAATATTTCAATCGATTTTACATTTCAGGGTAATAGAAGACAAATTGTTTTTAAGGAAAAAATCACCGAGGCGGGGCAAAATTCTTCTTGTTGTCATTGCCCTTCTGGGCAAACAGCTTTAAACAACAATTATGACAGTCAAATAAAAATTTTAGACTGTCGTTTTGTAGAAAATCACTTGGCAAACCATCAATGTTTAGATGTAAGCTGTTTAAATTTCAAATAATTGATATTAAAACTAATATATCCCCACATCCTTCAGTGAGGTGAAAAAACTTAATAATATAAATAACTAAATGCAATGTCATATTACATTAAAAAACACAAAAATGTATAAAGTTGATTGTAACTGATGATTTTATTTATTAACAATAAAAACACTGCTTGGCTTATACATATTCTACCACCATTAATTATATAATGATGTTACTGCTAATAATTAATAAGCATTTTTATTAATTGATGATACCCAAGTGCCAAGTGGGTATGGGTTTCTTTGGCCATGGATTTGGTTCTCATATTGCTCTTGGATTTCATATATTTGAGCCTTGTCCCTGACACCTAATTAGTAATTGGTATTTAAAATTAGAATTTAAAAAAAAAAATTAAAAACAGGGTTTGTTCAATTCCTGTTTGCTAAAACATTGGTAAAACAAGTGTAAATAGTGATTTTATTTAGTTTATTATGAAGAACATACACAAAGATATGACATATAATAACGTACATACATCATACCAAGTAATACAATGAAGGTATAACAATACCTTCTAAGATATAATTACAATACAAATACTAATAATTATTATTACTAATAGAAATTATTATTATTATTATCATTGCTAATTAAATACTATTTTTACAACAAACTTTTGTCTTCTTTTGTACTATGTGCTCAGTTCCATTTGTGTTTCATGATTGTTTGTACTATTTCTTCTCTCTTCGACATGATTATTATTTTTCTTATTTTATCTTTTCTTTTATACTTTAACAACTTCTCTCCATAGAACACTGAGGTTTTATTTTATGTTTTGCTTCTTTATTGTTTATTTATACCTTAGATAACAAAAGATTTTCCTTCCTTATTCATGCCTTTTCCTTCTTTTTGACATAATTAACAATAAGAGATGGGATTGCACTTGGTTTAATATTTCATAATTACTTTGTGAGCCCAAAATTACTTACTAGAAAGCCTTTCACAGTTCAGTTTCATTATAAACATACTTTTGCACAAAATATGTATAAAATAATTTAAGAAACAGTAAAGAATTAATTTAAAAAAAATTTAAAAGTATAATGAAACAATTTATTAGCATGGGACAAAAACTGGACAAGAAATGGGCTGATTCTATATCTGTTTCAACAAACAAATCTTTCTGTTTGAAGTGTTCACTGTCTTAACACAGAAATTCACAGTCCTTGGCAATGCTGGTACTGAGTCTTAAAAAACATTGAAACCATCTACCAAAAACTAATGTAAAAAAATGTCAATTTGTAAACATCTTTAAGATTGTTTTGCCTTGAAAAACAATACTCAAATTTGACTTAGAACAAATATTTAATCGAATTGTGAATCTGAAGGCACGCAAAGCAAAGTATAGCAAATGACTGAAGGAGGAAGTCGAAGTAAGACTGCATCATCATCATCATCATCAAGATTTATTAAAGAATAAACTATTTATATATTGTTGTCATGCACAAAACAGTTCTTTATTATCTTTAGAACAAATATTTCATAAACTCTTTTCAGCCAGATAGCTTTACGAATTCTAAAGGGCTTGTTTAACCAACTGACGTAGAAATTTAGATATTTCAATATTTTTAATATAAGTCTTTGTCTTTGTCATCATTCTGTTAAACAAAACATACAACCTTAATTTATTAATGATTAGTATTAATGCAATGATAATGAATGTATTCAGATTTTGTCAAATATTATTTCAAAATTATTAAATTGTGACGCACATGTAATTCGTTATCAGGATCCAAGCTAAAATCTCACATATCTAAAGATTTGCTTAGCAACCAAAAAACATGTGCCTTCTTTAAGAAAATTGCTGAGCAACAAGATAAATCAATCAATAGTTTTGTAGGCAACAAGATTCTAGTTCTCCCCACTGACTAATTCCTTGTTGATTTGCTGCCAGGACTCAACCAAATCTTGTTTGCTCAGTTTTAATATAAAAATAAATTCCAAGAATGGATGAAGAAAGTGTAAACATCTCAAATGAGAATATCGAGCACCTGATATTCCGATCTGAGCCAGAAGAGCTCAAATTTCCGATGTACAAGAGTAAGTTCAGCAAGCTTGTCCGGGAAGAATCGAGGATCGGAAAAGACTGCCACAAAACTTTTGGTTATGCCACGGATTTTCCAAAGGCAGATCCAAAAAAAGACTTCCTCAAAAAGGGCACCCGAGTTGTCTGCAGGCCTCGGATTGGTAAGTTGAGTTTTAATTTTTTGAAAAATACATTAGTAAATATTATTTAATTTCAGAATATACTAAACCTCCGACAAAAGTCTTAGAACAAGTGCCAAAGAAGGGTGAATGGAAAATCATTGAACACAAACCCACACCCAATTTTATAAAACTGAATATTAAAAAAGTGCACAATGCAATACCACAGACCGGACCAAGTAGATACGTGACAACAAAGGGTATTCGATTCCACAATTGCAATTTATTGATTCCAAAATTTGTTTGGGGAGAGGTATGTTATTTTTTCTAGGTAAATTGTTTGTTCAAACTATACAGTTGATTTTTCAGAAATTTGGGAAAGTACCAGGTTACATTTACAAAATAAAAAAAGAACTTTCTGATAAAATCAAGGAGAAGGAAGAAAAATGGAGGCTACGTGCTGAAAAATATAAAGCAGCAGAAACACTTAAACGAGTCTCTTCTGCTGAAAGACTAGAACTACTCAATGTAACTCATCATTTTAACTTATGCATAAATAAAATAAAATACCAATACATTTTCAGGGATTGAAAACGGCATGGGCCGGATTGCAACGTGAGTTCCAGCTTTTACCCATGCTAAATGACACTCCACCAAAGATCAAACGCAAGAGATTCCTTGAAGAACAGCTCAATGCTCTGGAGAAGGAAATCCAAATGATTGAAGGCCACCAAATCATCTATGTATATGAAGACCCCAATGACAACACCTGCAACAACAAGGCCAAAGATATTTGCTATGAATAATTACTTCCTCAATGATATCAGCAAATTACCAAAATCTAGAATACGACTTTGTATCTTCTAACTAATTTTGATATTTGCATTCTAAAAATATATACATATTTGGAATTTATTTGAATTTTAAAAAAATAAAATTTAAATGTTTACCAACAATGACGAGTTTTTTTTTACAATTGTCTTTTTAACAAAAATAATCTTTCATATGTAGTTTCTTTATTTCTACACGAATAAATTAGATTTGTATCTATATGGATACAATTTTTACAAAGCTGAAATGAGATTAAAAAGCAGGAAAACTGAGATTTTAAATGACTTTAACAAATAAATAAAAGCAAGTTTTGTGATAGTAAGGAGCTTTGACTTGCTGTTGCTTTTTAAATTTTGGTTGATAGTTCGTACAAGTCCCATCTAGAAGGTCTCCTGGCCATTCTTTGTGAATGCAATTTTACAGATTGTGCAAAGGAAAGGAGGAAAAAACAGGGGCTGGTGATGACACTAGCAAACAGCCTAAATATGTATAAATAATACCACATATATCGTTTTCTTAATACATACACAAATTTTTCCATTGATGAATTCTATTTCTTTCCTGGTCAGTCAGTCAATATTTAACCTGGTTGGAGCTGACTAAAATTCTGCATGTTTTAATACACATAATTTTCTGAAAAAAGGGTCTGTGTGTAATTTGCATATTAGCCAGAGGACTTAGTTAATTGTTTTATCATCAATTCAGTTGGGAGAAAGGGTAGTGGAAAAAAAAGGACATGGGCAATGGTGGGAATGGAACCCACGACCATGAGGTCTACAAGCTGAGAATCAATAACACTAACCACTCGGCTACCGCGGTCATAGTACTTCTTTATGGAATGACAAAGCGAATGTGACGATTAAGATTAATTGAGAACTAATGGAAGGTCATTTTGAAACATGGAAAACAGTAATGGTTCAAGAATAGAGCCTTGGGGTACACCAGCTGAAATTGAGAGAGAAGAGGAGATAGAATTTGAAGCTTTAATTCTCTGAGTTCTGTCAGACACAAAGGAAGAGATGAAATTAGTTTCCAAGTTTTGCTTTAATAGAATATTATTAGATTTATTATTATATTTTTCTTTTACTACTGTATTACATATGTACACACATTTCATATAATTTCAATGTAATGTTAGTCTTATTTATGTTTGGTTTATTTAAATAGTTCATTGTATTAAACCAACTTTACTTGTAGGCCTTAATTTGTTATAATAGAGTGATAATAAATAAGTAATATTATTTGTAATTATGATACAAAGAATAATGGAAGTACATTGTGAGTTAAGGGTTTGGCAGAATTTGGTGCGAAATGATCCGTAAATCTTTATTGATGAGGAGAGAAAATGTGTTTGTAGGTGGGTTCGAAGTTTGATGGCAATTGACTTTGGAGAGAAGACGCAACTTGTTTAGGTCGAAAGATGAAATTGGGAAAAATGAAGAACTACTGGCAGGTCATTTTGAAACATAGAAAAGAGTAAAGCTACAAGATTAAAGCCTTGGGTACACCCGCTGAAATTGAGAGAAAAGATAAGTTAGAATTTGAAGCTTCAACACTGAGTTCTGTCAGATACATAGGAGAAGATGAGATTAGTTTCAGAATTTTGTTTTAATAGAATGTTATTATATTTTTTCTTTTGCTACTTTATTATATTCATATACACATTTAATGTAATGTTAGTCTTATTTATGTTTGCTTTATTTAAATTTTTTTTCTATTAAACCAACATCCTCAGTAGGCTTTAATTTGCTATAATAAAGGAATAATAAATAAATTTAATAATATTATGATATTTGTAATTATGATACAAGGAAATGGATGTACATCATAAGTTAGGGGTTTGACTGATTTTCTTGCAAAAAGATCTGTTATCTTAATTGATGAGAGAGAAAACGTGGTCGTTGGTGGATTTGAAGTTTGAAGGTGATTGATTTTGGAGAGAAGATGCAAATTTAGGATGAAAGATGAAATTGGGAAAAATTAAGAACTACTGGCAGGTCATTTTGAAACATAGAAAAGAGTAAAGGTACAAGATTAAAGCCTTGGGTACACCCACTGAAATTGTGAGAAAAGATGTTAGAATTTGAAGCTTCAACACTCAGTTCTGTCAGATACATAGGAGGAGATAAAATTAGTTTCAAAGTTTTGTTTTAATAGAATGTTATTATATTTTTTCTTTTGCTACTTTATTATATTCATATACACATTTTGAAACATAGAAAAAGCTCTAGCTGAAACTGAGAGAGAATTTGAAGCTTTAACTCTCTGAGTTCTGACAGATACAAAAGAGGAGAGGAGACTAGATTCAAAGTTTTATTTTAATAGAATGCTATTAGATTTATTATTATACTTTTTCTTTTGCTACTTTATTAGGTACATATGCACATTTAATATAATTTCAATGTAATGTTAGTCTTATTTATGTTTGCTTTATTTAAATATTTTGTTGCATGAAACCAACATCATCATAGGCCTTAATTTGTTATAAAAGAGTAATAATAAATAAATAGGGGCGTCGGTGGCCGCAATGGTTTATGCGTTGACAAGGCACTCTTCACTGTAAGGTAAAAGGTCCCAGGTTCAAATCCAGCGGCTCTGCAATTTTTTTTTTTTAACATCGGCACCGTGAGGGTTTATATGACCTCTGCTGTTGCGAACCCTCGTAAAAAAAAAAAATATGGTACAAGGGAATGAAAGTAAATCATGAGTTAAGGGTTTGAATGATCTGCTATCTTTATTGATGATGAGAGAAAATGTGGTCGTTGGTGGGTTTGAAGTTTGAAGGCGATTAGTTTTGGAGGGAAGGCGCGACCCGTTTTGGATGGTGGCCGCCGAGATCGGGGGCGCTGCGCTCAGTCGCGATCCCGATAAATGGCACACACATGTGATTTTTAGCTTGTGAAACGGGGAAAAATCATAAAATTCGGTGTCGCGAGTCGTTCGCATTCAGCTCGGCCGAGGCTCAACGCGATGCCTTCGCCGCGATAAAGAGCCAGCCCGTTTCGCACGACGAGAAGGGCCACCGTTCCGTTCAGGCGAACAAGGTAGGCTTGACATTAGCCGAACTGGGCATTGATCAGTTTTCCCGAAATCTATCTGGGCCCGTTTTCCCCGGAAAATCGCCGGCTTTCCTCACCCGCCCTGACCGTCCGGCTCGCGCCCTTTTATCCTTCTTCGGATTTGGCGATCGACCCCTTGGAACCCTGCCACAAGTTCAAAAGACTATTACAATTACAAACCTTTGACTCAAATTTGACACTTGTATTTTTTTTTATAGGGAGGGTAAAATTGTAGAGGGTTCCGATCATCATCGTTGTTGAAATGGACGATCGCACGGACTTCGACCAGGAAAGGGAGTCGGACTTTTCCGGAAGATGTGAAAAGCCGGCAAATTTTCCCCTTGACTATTTTTTAGTCTCGTTCACACTTTTCCTTTCCATTTTCGCTTGTGTTTTCATCAAATTTGGCCTGCAATCGCATGAGTGATAACGCGGGGAAGTGTCAGTTGCTATCAACGTCATGAAAACAGATGCTGCAAGGACTCGCTTTTCCTCTGGCCCTTATTGAATTTGTGATATTCCGATCGCCGCACGTACTCAAAAATACGGGGAATACCAAAATTTCCAACTCGGATTTTCTTTCCTGCATTACTTTTTATTTTGCCAGCGCTAATACGTGGTTTCAAAATGTCAGCCTTGAAGTCGATGAGGAAAAATGAGGATCTACCAACTGTGAAGTCCGTTTCTTTATATTCTGTTAAGAAACAACATGTCATCATATATTTAATATTATTGCTGGCAATGGGATTTAATATTAAAATCATTAAGAAGGATAGATTTATGCGTGCGTGCGTGTGGGTGTGTATGTCAGTCTAGTTTCATATACTGATTTCCGTTTTTTCAATTTCGATGTTTATGCCAGGGCTGCTAATCATGTGGGAATTATGCCATTCTGCCTAAAACAAACTTCTCGACATTAGTTCATTTAGTCCAAGATTGTTGCAGAAGTCATCATTAGATGTTTCATGTTGTAGAGACTCACAATTTATTATATTGTGGCTGAAATAACTTAGTAGCACTTTGTTTCTGTAGGACAGCTCTAATACGTGGTTTCAAAATGACATCCTTGAAGTCGATGAGGAAAAATGAGGATCTACCACTGTGAAGTTCATTTTTCTATACTCGATTAAGAAACAACACGTCTCAACAAACAGTATTTAATATTATTGCTGACAATGGGATTTTAAAAGCATTAAGAAAGAGTTTTGTTTGTGTGTGTCTATTTTCATATTCCAATTTCTGTTTTGCCAATTTCGTTGATTATGCCAGGGCTGCTAATCATTTGGGAATTATGCTGTTCTGTCCAAAACAAATTTCTTGAAATTAGTTCATCTATTACAAGATTGTTGTAGAAGAAGTCATCATTAGATGTTTCTTGTTGTAGAAACTCATAACTTATAATACTGTGGCTGAAATAACTTAGTGGCACTTTGGTTTTGTAGTACGGCTCTAATATGTGGTTTCAAAATGTCAGCCTTGAAGTCGATGAGGAAAAATGAGGATCTACCACTGTGAAGTTCATTTTTTCTATACTCGATTAAGAAACATGTCTCAATATATTTAATATTATTGCTGGCAATGGGATATAATATTAAAATAATTAAGGAGGATAGGTTTGTGCATGCGCGAGCGTGCGTGTGTTTGTGAGCATGTATGTATGTGTCTGTCTATTTGATATACATAATTACCACACTCTTTTAATTACCAAAGACCACATTTGCCGAATATCTTTTCAATTTAATTGGTCTCTTCTCTGCTTAATAAATAATTGTCAAATTTGAATTAAAACTACTTCAATACTACTTCAATCTTTAAAAAAATTAATAAAATAAAAAAATAAATAAAACAAATCCCCCCCCCCAAAAAAAGTACACATTCAAAATACATAAAGAATATGTGTATCAATTAGTTTCAATTCCAGAATATTTGCATGTATCTATGATTTTTATTGCATATAAATTTTGATTTGCAGTGATTTGTTTACATTGGGACGTAGGCCACTGTCGTCCCTGGATCTCTTTTTCACGCAACCCTTCCCCCCCAAAAAAAGAAGAAAAAACAAATAATATGCATCGCATATGAGATATAACATTCCTTGACTAATACGCAAAGTTCATAAGGCCATTTAAAAAAAAAAAGGGTCTTGTAATTGTATTCAGTTGGTCCAGGGCATTATTGCATCTTTTTCACCTAGTCTGCTATAAATAAGGAAACAAATAAAAGAATAGTATAAAATAAATAACAAGGAGAATTTTATCTCAAAATATACATTAAACATAAAAAAGTTCAGGGGAAATATATATAAAATAAAACCCCAGGCGTTACACAAAACAATAAAGGTATTAAACACATTATTAGTTGCTGTATATGAGTTCAATAAATAAGTTAGATGGTAAGAATATTAAAGTACATGCTACACACAACAAATCAACTAACACATTCCAAAATGTATAACTTATTCATTGCAATATAATTAAATTGTTCTTGAGTATTAGCCTCCGTTTTTGGAAATCGATATCTACTATTTTTTCATGGTCCTAGTGTTCAGTAACGCTATTGTAAACTAGATTTTTTCTTGTTTAAATGGAAAATATGAAAAATAATGAAGTTATCATGTAAAGGTATAAACTGTCCAAGTAAAATTGGGGGCTTGTACTAAAGAAACTGACTAGTGAGAAACTTCACAACTGTTACACTGTTAACAGTTAAGTATTTTGACAGTAGTAATCTTTTACAGACCTGAGGAAAGAATAAATGGGTCCGCTTACCTGACCCGCACATATCTCTAACAAAGAGATTCTACCATGTGATCATAAACGTTTTTAACCCCGCCAGTGTGAATCCCTCTATTGACAGAACTGTTCTGTCAATAGAGTTTGAGTGTGCGCTAAACTTGTAGGATTTATGATGTGGACTAAATGATTGACTGACTGGTGCTCAAGATTCAAAGTTGCCAGTCTAGTTTAAGCATGCCACTGGTCAGAAATAATTGTACCAGGTCGCACATATTTCAAGATAATTGGGGGAAGCATTTCTTTATTTTTTGTTATTGGGGCAAAGTTCTAATCGGAATTCAAGTGATCAGAAATAATAGTACCAGGTTGCACATACTTCAAGATAATTAGGAGAAGCGTTGCTGCATCTTTTGTTATTGGGGCAAAATTCTAATCAGAATTCCCTGCAATTGCCTCTCAATCATCCCGAACACTCAAGTTCCTTCAACAAATCTGCCTTAGTTATAGTTTTATCTTCCGATTTTTTGTTTTGTCAGTTTCGATGGCTGCAATCATTTGGGAATTTTGACATTTTACCAAAAATGAACAAACTTCAGTCCAGCCAGTCATAGATTGTTGCCAAATAAGTGGCCAACGTTTCGTGTTATACAAGTTCATAATTTATAATATGTCTGAATTAATAGACTTAGAACTAATAGACTAACTTAGTCGCACTGTTTTTGTAGGACTGGTGATGCCTCCTAAAAAACAAATTCCTGAACACAGGAATAGTTTTGTCCATTATTCCACATTTCCTGCACTTATATTCAAAATTGCATTGGGTCTCACTTGAACATTAACAGAAACCCATTGGTATGGAACAGACAGGACAGTTAAGTTGTCTTATGATCAGTCCCTTATCACAAAACTACTCAAACATACTTGGGTTCATATTTGTTTTTGACATCTTTAATGATAACCTTTATATTGTGAAGTAATTTTTCAGTAGAAAATGAAAGTACTCGTGGTACTAATTATAATACAGGGAATTATTATCTAAAAAATACATTTCACTGGTAATTTCTACTTTTCAAACATTAAAAATTCCTTTCTGTACTGCATGACTCATGCCCTGAAAATCATTTGTATTCAAATTCTCCCTTGCCATATATATAATTAAATACTTTAATCTACCATTGATTCCTTTTAGTGTTGTACTGTAACAATATAAAACAACTGCATAATTCAGTTATAATGTTGTGTGAATCACAATAGAACCAAATATAATTCGGACTTCTGTATATAACAGAGAAATTGCATTTTCATATCAATTGTTAAAAATGTCAACATTATTTTATCTTACAGTTATTTGAACTTTATAAATACAAATAGTACATTCTATGTACCCAAAGTGATTTATTTATTTTTTTTTTTGTTATTGTAATTTGAATTTCATTTTGTCTATTTGATTTTTTAAGCTATGTTCTAACCAATTTTTAAAATTAGTTTTGTTAATTTTGATCAACGATCATCCTTGTCTGCCTACTGTTGGTCACCCCACCTGACCTCAACAGCAAATGTCCCAGTGTAATTGATATTTTTATGCAATTTTATATCTTATGTTTAATGATTTGTTATTTTTTGCTGCCCTGTTAGATGTTTCATTTAATTAATATTTTCATAAGTTTTTTAAATGTTTCAATTATATCTTTACTGTGATAAAAATCACAATAGATTAATAAGATAGAACATTAAATTCAAACCGGTTTTTCAAAATCATCGCATTTTATATGTTCAAAATTACATAACTCATAGTTCCTAATTAGTTTATACGAATTTTCCCGTTTCCAGTATGTTGCGGAAAAAATAATACTCGAAGGAATGGACACAATCGGTGGGAGGCGCAGGGGTGTGACCAACCACACAGCCGAAGACCAGGCTTTGGATCAAATCGCGAGAGAGGTAAGTGTCATTACATTTTATTTATATTATCTCTTAACTTTTCCTATTTGTATAGTGGTTCTAATAAATTGAGGCATTTCTAAATTGTGATGGAACAATTGCAAAGTTTAAATTATTACTGCTATTGTATTAAAATAATAAATATTATGTTCACTTTTTGATTTTTTTTTAGATTGTTTATAGATTATAAAAGACATTACTTTTTACTGTTAGGAAAAGATTTTTTTTTCATCTACCCAAATATGGAAAAGAAAAAGGAATTTAATTAAAAATAAATATTAATAAAAATACTCTGATTCTTAGATTTTGGTTAATACAAATTTTAAATTAATTAAAGGATTAGCTTTTATACACAATCTTTTTTTTTCTATGGTATAAAACCTTTAAAAAATTAAATCCAGATTAGATTATTAACATTGTTAGTAATCATATCCTGAAATAAGTTTTTTTATGGCCTTATAGGAAATTTGTAATTGTAAATTATACTATTTTTTAATTTAACAAATAGATGATAAGCTTTACCTTCATTGTGTTGTTCTTGTTATGGGACTGTAATACTTATGGTCGTCACACATGTTGGGAAGGGTGTTTTTTTCTTCTTCTCCCTTCTTCTGGAGGACATATTGCTTTGGGAAATTTTCAATTTTATCACTTGTCCCTCATGTTCAAGTACGCCTAGGCAAGAATTAAATTTTTTCTCTTCGTTAGAAGAGCGAAGTTTACCCATTTGATCAAGAAAGAATAAGACGAGGGATTCCTTTAGCTTAGCCCTCGTGTGTTATAAAATAGGATGTGTGAGGGAGTAGGCCCAAAGTGGGGGGTGAGGAATATTATTAGACCTGCAATATAGAAATTCCTCAGTTTACAAAACGCCTGTGAGTCAGCGGTAGATTCTTGCCAAAACGTCTTCACCCAATTTTCATTAAATACCTGTTTAAGGAATTGAAGTATTTAATGAAATATATAAGTGAATTTTAAACACGAAATTGTAGATTAAAAAAATGAATGGTCTTTGGAAATATCTTTTTTATCTCAAAATTGTGTTTAAAAATTTACTTATATATAATATAATGAATAGTACTGAAACCAATGAAAATAACTCTTAAATAAAACTGATTGAAAATAAAATGGAGGAGAAAGTTGTATATTAATATTTTTATGATCTAATTAGTTGTAGAAAATTGTTCTGCTTCATTAGTTAATTTTTATTGGACACAGTGTTGAGCTGTTTAATAATTAGGAAAAATGAATACTTAGGGGCAACATGTCAATTTTTTCATGCTGTTGAATGAATATATTCTCAGTTAGTTAATATCACTGTACATAAATTATATCTTTAAGAGATTTGACAATAAATTTTCTACTCATAGTTTTTAGCACCAGATTTTTAAAAAAAATCTATCATGAAATCAGTTTTCATTTATTCGTTAAAGATAAATTCATTGTTAGATAATGATTTTAATAAATTGATTAATATTATGTTATGGACGTTAAATTCACTCGAAGGGGTTATGTGTAAGGGAAGCCTGGACTGATTCCAAGCCCAGCGCCCCTTCCAGCCCAACGTGGGGGAAGGATCTGGAGGATGGTTCTATTTCGAATCTGCTCCCTCCCGTGTCCCCCGGTGCAGAGTGTCGTGTGCCATCACTGAAGTAGGATGCTGTTTGTTATCATGAATGCCCTCCACTATGTCTTCAACTACCACGAGTGGGAATCGACACAAGGAAAACCGACTCCTTGGACGACGGGTTTTCTCGTTGACAACGATATATATGTGAGTTGGCAAACGTAGTAAATATTGAACTTTTTCAAGTTAGTTAATAAAGTTATAATAATAATTACTATGAGGATAGAATAACAATCTAACAAATCACAAGTTTATGCTAGGTGTTTCATGATTGGCAGACTTTCACCTAGCGATTATGCATTTTTTTTCTTTGTATAATTACAAAAGACATTGCTGATGAGTATAAGTACAACTCTACAGCTTGGGATGTAAAATTACCACAGTGGGAAATATTTGATCGCCAAGGTTCTAGCATAGCAAAAAGCTGAATTCCCAAAATCTTTGAATTTTTTTCTGAAATGCATTAGTTGTAAAAGTTATGACTTGTTGACAACTAGTGTAAATGAGTTAGTGGGTGTTTTAAAAATAATTTTGCCTGAATGGTGCTAATGATATATTTTCCTATGGAAAAATCTTATCTTATGTTAAAAATATATATGTAAAATTATAATGTAATATTATAAAACTTAACAATGTACTCCAAACAGTTTAACATTGGTTTCAAAAATACGTATATTATATGATATGTATATAAGTACTTACGAAATATTGAAAATATTTCTTCTCATTTTATCATGATTATGTTTCATGATATTATATTGTGGAAAATTTCATTAGATTGAACAATCAAAATCATTTCATAAATAATATATTGGTTCATCTATTATATATAATAACAATAAATATATATAATATAATGACAATAAATTAATAAATTTACCAAACACGTTTAGGCTCTGAGGATGGACTTATAAAGGCCAAAACATTGGCAAGTGAATGCAGTTTCTATCCTCTTTTTTTGACCATAAACCAGTTCCATACTTTACAATTATAATAATAATTAATATCGGAAATGCTAATGGTCATACGATTTGTTTAATGAGTGGAAAGTAACTATTTCTTTAAGGAGGTTATGATTTAAAAAAAAATAATAGTCCAATTTATTCGGAGACTCGAAGGCCTTTATGTCCTTTTGGCTTTAAAGAGTTAGTAGTCTTGCATAAGTGGTTTTAAACCATTTTAAAAATATGAGAACAACTCAGGCTTGTAGGTGTACAAGTCTAGAAAACCACACATTTCAACGTTTTTCTCGTCTAAATAACTATGGCACATGATGAATTTTATAAGATTTTTAAATGATAATTTTATGACTCATGGATGAACTATAGTGTCATAATTTTTTGAAATTAGTACAAGCTTTCTTTGGGTTATCAGGAATGACTCCTTTTGCTTAATATTTGGCTTATTTTAAAATCACAAGACCCAAACTTAATAATACAAGTCTTTAATTCTTTTCTGTGTTAGATGGAATCCACCCCATGATGAATCACTTACATAAACCTACTGCCTTTTAGAATTTCCCGTGACTGAACTTCCGGTTAAAGTGACACCATCGCGAAAAGGCAGTAATAGGATGAAACTTGTCATTTTACCCCATTTAAAGATTTTGAAATTAACATTTGAAAGTGGATTCAGTGCAAGAAATACTGTATCACCATACCATGTAAATCAAGCGTCAAAACACATTTTCTAGTACAAAATTAATCGATATCATAAAGTATTCACGATGTATTATTATTTATTTTAATTCAGTTTAGTTTCAATTTTAGATGGTAGAACATAAAAGATAAAATTACCCAAAAGGGAGACGTGCTCGAAATTTTCATCCGAGGAAACCAGTATAAACGCAGAATTTTTAAAAATAATTTATGAAATCAGATAAACAGAGAAGCAAGGTGATGGCAACACTCCTGATGAATGGACTTGGCACGAATCCTGGGCATTCCGAAAGTACACACGGTACCAGCCGATTTTGTTTTTACATTCTGTCAATTTTGATCGAGTGATCCAATTGCTACAGAAAATCACGAACAAAGCGTGTGTTAAATGTATTATTAATCAATGGAAAGCGACGAATCTTTTGGACAAGGAAGTTATCCCTCATTAGTTTTCCATTTTGGCGGTTATTGAATTAATCATTTTATCCTGTTTAAAATGTTACCAGCCAACTTTTCTGCCAGTCTAAATCTCTAAATATCACTAGTCATCTCGGGCAGACTTACGAGATCATGATATGAATTTAGTGGTATGGGTCGGGAATCATTTGCTAGCGAGTAGCAGTTAAAAACTGGTTGCATTGACGCATACAATTTTTATCCCAATGATAACGCAATGTTTCGTAGGTGAGAAAAATTGCTGAACTTGGGATGGGTCACTGAACAATTATCGAAAAAGTAATCTTTTTGGCTGATGGACTTAGTAAAAAATGCAGCTTAGGAAGTTATCCCTTTTTGTGTGTATTTGTATAGTTAATGGGCGTTCGATTGATAAAATGTGCAGTCACCATATCGCGGAGATATGCAATCAACTTTTTCCTTTCTCGTTGCTCACTTTTTTATTTATAGTCAATTTTCATTATTTTGTACAAAAACAATGCAAATACGAAAATACAAAATTCCACCGCAGGTCAGTAAAGTTTTCTTCTTGCTCATTGGTTACTATTCTTTTCCACATTTACAAAAATTATGTTTTCATCTATTAAACAGTGTATGTGATAATATCGGTCATATACAATATACAGTAACTACAGTTAGAAAAAGAAAGAACAAACATTCTAGCAGGATTGTTTCATGGTTGGAGGGTCCTGCAACTCTGATAGATTAAGTACAATAAAGCGAAGGAAGGGGATTAAGTTCTTCGGTCTAATAGTCCAGACCTTCTGATCTAGTGATATGGTAGTTGATTGATTGAAATATCAAAGAAATTATTTTCTTTCATTTCCAAAAAATCGAACAAATTGAGGTCTTAGACGTGTACAGATCTTCTGTACTACAGTTTCGGATTCACTGAATCATCGACATCATGAAATAAGTTTTGTAAGTTCTTTTCAAATTAGGACTTCTAGATCTCGTAATTCAGTAGATTTTTTGTGGAAAAAATGGTCGAACCTAGTTTGAAGACTAGTCCAAAGACGTTTTCGTAGCGTTTCGGCATTTGTTTGGTTAAAAAAAACTTTATAACACTGCAGGATACTCCACTGAGACAAAACCCTTTAAATATAAGCGCCAGTAATAAACTAATAAAAAACTGATATAATATTTATTAATCAAGGTAGCGCATTGGGTTGTTTACTACTAGTAATTTATTTATATTTACTACGACCTAGTAATTTGCTATTTTTTAATTGATCAAATAAAAGGAAAAAATGAAATTT